ATATATACTACTAGTATAGAGTTTTCTACTATATAATTCTACCCTAACTATAGGAATTCCGGTTTATATAGTAAAAAAATATACATTTTAATCAGAAAAAAGCGTATATTTTTATTAATTTAAGCATTTATATACTTATATAGGTTGAATATACTTCTTATATAGGTCCCCGCGCCTAGTTTCTACGTCCTCGACCCCGTCCTCGACCCCGTCCTTAACCACATCTCTATCCTCTAGTCTTATTATTACTACTACTAGTTTTACTACTACTTATTCTACGCCTACGTCCCCTTCCCTATCCCCGCGGCCGTCCTCGTCCTTATCCTCGGCTCTCTTTCTATAATAAAGGATCTCGGTATATAGAACGATCCTATATAAAAGGATCCGCGGAAAACTACAGTTACTAGGTACTACTAGCCTAGGTACTACTAGCCTAGGTGCTACTAGCTTAGGTACTTAGGAGATTCCTAGCACTTTAGAGGCGGCTTTATCGCCGAGCCTAAAGGGGATCCTATATAAGAAGTAATAGATCAATTAGAGGTATATCGACACTATATAAGTGCTAATACTAGTAATATAGCCCTAGCTCGAGGTATCGTCCTTCTTTTTCGTACTATTTTAGTATATAAATATATAGAAAACTAGCTATTTCTTTAGAATTATAAGTACAAATTGGTAGAATTAGGGGCTTATTATCTACTAGAGGAAGATACCGAGTATAAATATCTTTTATAAGCTAGATTGCCCGTACTAAAATACGGTAATAAAATAAATAGTAGAGCCTTTAATAAGCCTACTTAGGCCTATATATCTTCTAGATCTCTAGTTCTTACTAGACCTTTACGAACTAACGCTCTACTATACGGCTAAAGTAACGGAGTACTACTAGTAAATCACTAGTTAAAACCTAAAGATCTTACTTTAGAAGCTAATACGCGCTCTCTATATAGGAAGTAGCGATCTTATTAAGATAGAGGTATTATCTAATATAGTAATAAAGGAACCTTTCCGGGCAGTCGTCTAGCTATTCTTATTATATATAATCTAGTAATAAAGTAAAGAGGCTAAAGGGATTAGCGTATCGTTCTTTAAAATTGCTTTATTATCGGTCCTTTTCTTTAATTATAGTAGTATAAATAATACGATTCTACCAACGGAGTATCTTCTTCTACCCCTATTTAGCTTTTTTATAGTCTTCCTAGGCTTCGGCTAGAGTAAGGCGGCGGTTAATTCTAGTATCTCGACGTACCTATATAATTTAATTAGCGAGAAAGGGGCGCGCTTTCTTTAAAATATTTATATTAATATACTAGATATAGATTATATTCTTTATATCTAGGAAAATAGTCTTAATTATATTTATTAAAGCTCCCTCTTTATTAGTAAGGATTATATATAAGAGATCGAGACCTAGGGAGTCGTATACTTTAGCGAGATAGATAAGTATTACCTAGTAATCCTAATAAGGTATTAGTATTAGTTAGCTTTAAATAGGAGTATTAAGTATATACTTACCTTATATAAGTCATCCTTTTTATCTTATATAAAGGTAAAGCCTAGATAGAATATTAATCTAGTAGTAGTAAAGCCCACAATATCTAGTAAAGGAAGACTATACCGATTAATCTTATATATATAGTCTATAGAGATCACCTAAGGATTCTTCTAAAGTATTATAACACTCGATTTATATATATAAAATAAAGTAGATATATATAATTATTCGTCTAGCTCATATTTAAAGATCTAGCTACCATCCTTCGGAAGTTCTATTAATAATACTTAGAGGGGCGTACGGCTAGTAAGAAATATATCGCTTAGCTTCCTATATATATTATAAATATCATATAGTATAAGGATACTCTCTAGATCGGCTTTATAGATCTTAGTTATAATCTAGCGGGTTATATAGCCTTAGCGAAGCGCGTTTTCGATCTTATCTTTCTTATATATAAGCTTAAGCTTTCGTTACGCTATATAGGTAGATACTAGCGATAGGAGATAGTTATATTTAGACTTCGAATTGTCAATTATCAATCGCTAAAGACTAGTTATAGAATCTAAACGAAGCACTATTATAAAGGGGCATCTATAGGTAAGCGTTATAGTACGTCGTTTCTTAGTAGTCTCTTTAGTATCCTCTTACTTTACCTCGCGGCTTTAGTTATAGTAAAGGTAAACTAACTTCTTAATACCCTTTTTAGTATATTTAGAGCGTCGGATAGTAACTATATAACCATATAGGCGCGCGAATATATTTAGTGCTTTAGTACCTTCCTCTAGTATACGGTATTACTAGTTTAATAGGGGTAGCGGAAACGTAAAGAGCGGCTTTATAGATATCTCGCTAGCGAGTGTCTTAGTAATTAGCTAGGTATACGACTAGGTACTTAGTATTATAGGTAGAGACTCGGGGACGATCTTAGGGTCCGAATCCGATGATTCGAGGTATAATAGGCCTAAAGAGGCTATTTTAATAGCTAAAATGATAAAAACGATAATAAATTTGATATAGATACTGATGAAAAATGGATTAGAAGAAGGTAGGTTAATATATATAAACCAGAATTGCATTATTAGTTTATTTGCTACTCGAGTCCTATAACATATATAGGACTAAAATAACTTATTTTTACTATATATTTTATATATAAATTATAGGTATCTACTATCGTCCTATAGTGTTAGGTAGAGGGCGGAGTGTATTTGATACAAAGGCGGTGTAAACCCCCAAAGGCGGTGAGAAAGGCGGTAGATAGGTGTAGGTGTTGAGGCAGAAATATTACCCGATTAGGAATATAAGCCTGGTTTTTCAGGCAGGGGGTGTCCCAGGATCCAAAGGGGTGTCCCAGGATCCATAGGGGGTGTCCCTCTATCAATCCCCTAATTTTATTAGATCTTTTATCATTTTTTTCTTTCGCTATTTTAATTTTATCTTATATAAAAAACTCTTAAATCGCTTTACCTCTTACTTTTTAAGATTAAATCTTAAAATATAAAAGAATATTATAAACTTTTAGATTATTTTAGATTTTATTCTTTTTTAGTAATAATAATAAATATTTTAAATAGTATTAAAGAGTTATTTAATATTAGTATCTATTACTAATATTAAAAGAATATCTTTTATAAAAGCTATAATAGCTAGGAAATAGTATTAATTCTCTCTCTAAAAACTAAAAGGCCTAATTTTAATTATATTTATTATCTAATTAGTAAAATATTAATATTATTTAAATATAATATACTACTCTAAAAAGCTTTAAATTTTATTATATCTATAAGACTTTTAATAAAGATAAGATATAAGAGAAATATCTAAAGTTATAATAAGAGATTATATAAGTTATATAGTTAGGATTCCTTAGTATATTTATCTTATTTATAACCTAATTAGGGCCCTAGCCTAGGTTTATATTAGGTCTAGGTTAAGGGTAGTAACCTAGGACCTAGCGTTAGGTCGAGATTTTAGACCCCGACCCGACCCAAACCCGGGTTAGGTCCGGGTTGGGTCCGGGTCCGGTTGGGTTCTGCGGAAGCCTAGTTCGAACAGCGTGTTAGACGGTCGTAATCGATGTTAATGAGATGCAAATAGATGCTATCTAGATGCAGGTTGAATGGAGAGATCTAATTGGTCTAACTAGAAATCTCTGTATAGGATGAGATCTGTAAAAAAGCGGATCTCGGGGCTTGGCGGACGTATAACGCCGGGGAATTGGGGATTCGAGTGTTGCTGTGAAACAAGAGCCTCGGAGACAGGCGCTCATAACCTGAGAGAGGTGCTACTATGAAGAAATAGGACACTCTGGAAAATGTGTAGATGCGTAAAGAAGAGAAGAAACTATCTACATACTGAGACTAACTAAATGTGTGTGGGAGCAAACAAGGTCACATGACCTTTAACATTAGCGATGTAAATTGGTGCCAGCATAGTATTGACCATGCCCGGCTGTCTCTTTTTATATCTCAAAATAAAGTCAAGACATACCTCTGTAGTCCAAAATCGGCAAGTCTGCCCTGTGGAGACTTGGGATCCTGTAATGCAGGGGATGAACTGGGGTAGGACCCACATAGCAATCACCGCCGGGGTGACCTGAATACACTTCCAGGAGCCAGGTCCCGTATATTGTCAGCCTTGGCAGTAGATATCTCCTTTTTGGGTAATTCACCCCCCAAACTCACACTGGGCCTCCAACGTGTTCCTATTGGCTGACACCGTGGAATGTTGCCAACACAAGAGGGATTTAGATGTGCGTAGATGATGAATATATAGAGATCGAGAAGCCAAAAGGGATTACTCGACAGTCAGAGAAATCGAGCAGATATTTGCGAATGACGATACAAGGTGAGAGACTAGATACATTTTTCCTTTTTAAGAGAAAAGGTAAAACGAAATTCAAGTAGCATGTTCGACACGGATGTTCTATGCTGTGCCCTATCCATACCGGCAAGAACCTACGTCCGGTTTCCCAACTAGGATATAGCCCGTCACCTGGAAATCCTCACAAATCATCATCCAACCGTCCAATTATGCTACACGTCATAAAGACTTTTAACCACCAAACTAAACTATTACTTTGACATGGTGTTCATTCCCTCCGCAGGTTCATCAATCGTCGATGCAGACACTTTGGGTCCAATCTCACATGATCTTCATCATGCTCCTTGCTGAGCAAACAAGACACTCGGGTTTGAGTTTCCATTATAACTTGCTCCAAATGTGCACACGGTGCAGTGCTTCGGGAATCCGGTGTCACCACCTACGTGTTCTTTGGTTGTTTCTCTGAGCCTGATGTCAAGGGAGGATAACATTCTTTAGGCGACGTACAAAAGCATCACTGTTTCAATGACATGGGTATGGTAAGACTGAAAAGTATTCCGTAACACCCCGTAACACAAATAGAAAAGCTATCGTAATATGTCTCGTTGACAATTGTGCTGGGGTCAGTCCCGCAGAATGACATACAATTTGTTTTCAATCTCAAGGCGATAACTTGGGCTTAGCGTTCGTGGGAGGTATGATCGTCCTGTCCCTCCTTGCTTATCGGTTCATCTTTAATATCTGCTTGGTGAAGGAGAGGACTCTCATCAATACTCGCGCTTTTCATATGCGTATCTTGGTTGGCATCTTTGTCAACGTTACTAGAGGCTGGGACGGGGGCATAAGGGTGCGAAATGCTTTCCCGATAAGGATGGGATCTGCCCGTTTGAATAGCGCCGTTATTAGTCTCGCGATGAGCGGAAGAAAGAGCGAGATCGCCAGAGTCAAAGTATGTCCGTTCCTACTGGTTGTTAGTTATCGCGCGTTATACGAAACTGTACTCTGTGTACCTTGGGCGTTTGAGCTAGTAAGCCTCCACGCCGCAGCTTTCCGTACTTTTTGAGACTGTTCTCGGATTTAGACAACAGCGGAGAGGATCATTAGTGTCGTTCATTCTAGGAATGGTGGGACGTACTCCGAGATCTGGTCCTCCTGGCTGCATTCTGAGAGATGAGTCGTGTATTTTCAGATGATTTTCCAAGCCTGCGATAGGGACTGCATCTGAACAGGGAATACCAAGATTCTCGAAATTATAATGTTCGTGACGTTATTTGCCTGCGCGTGACCTTGGGACCTTCCAGGTTCCAAGGTTGGGATCCAACTGCGATTAGTCAGCTAGATCGGCCTAGGCACTTGGAAAGCTTTACAGATTAAGTCGTCATTACCAGAGAGGCATATTGGTATTCCCGAGCTATTCTCAATACAATGAATGATCCTGGCATTAGGGCTCGAGAAGTAATCAAAGAGGTGGTGTAGTGGTAACCCAGGCAACCTGCAGGATGACAATCTTTTTGAATAAACAGTGAGGTATATATAATGAGCTAGAGAACTGGGAATGTCAAAATGTGATTAGCTTATCTCTTAGTCTCGCTGAGAGCGCCCTGCCACTAGACCAAAATAGGCAGTTACAGTGTCTTGTTATCTCTACGGTCCGAGGATATTCCGGGTAAATTACCCCGGATCCAAGTATTGGGACTCGGTATTTAACACTATGTACTAAGTTTTAACTAAATAAAATTAGTCAAAACGATTCAGAAATGGTTTAAGTCTGCTTCACTATCCCTGACCGGACCCAAAATATGATTGATTCCAAAGTAGGGACTTCGTTCAGCCAATAACCAGCTTTCTCATCGGCTGCGGAAAGTTCAGAAGCGACAAACTGATCGGAAACATTGCATAATTCCTGATTTCGCAAGTAGGTAACTCTTGCTTTTATCTTTAAAACCCCTTATTTTACTTGGAGTTATGGTTAAATTGATTGAAAACCGCCAGTCTGGTGCCATATAACGTGTCCTAGTTTATCTAATGTGAACAAACCTTGAACATTGATCATAGTTTAAGATCTCTTCCGAGATGATGTGGCCCTGCACCAACATATGTCCAGGAGAGCTCGGCGGTTGTTGCGCCCTTTCCACCCACAGTGATCGTTTTCTTCTCCCCGGTACAAGATCAAATCCGTTGTCGCTCAGCTTCAAGCCTTCCCTCTCCTCAAACACGAAACCTTTGACCGGCAGATCCGCCCACACGGTAATCTCATCCCGGGATGGGGAGGCTTCAACCCTGACATTCCGGTTCGAAAAGTTCAGATACTTCAAGGGCTGCGGCCAAGCCGTGTCGGTTGCCACAACCAGTCCCCCAACATACAACTCTGCGTGGATGACGAACGAATCCAAGTTCTCATAGTCCGCACTGTGACAAGTCGTGGACACCTTTACACGTTGGTTTCCGAGGATCTCTGTTGTGGCATTCGGGCTCGCTAGTGTCGTGATATTGATAGTGTCACTAACCAGATTACCCGACCGTATGGAGATGAACTTGACCTTCACCTCAACCTCAACAGCCTCTTGGCGGCTACTCGCAATCCATAAGTCGAATTCGCATGAGTTGGTAGACATTGGATCGGCATGGCCCGAGGTCCACACCGGGCAGGTACGAGATATACCAACATCCAGTGGTCTCAAAGCTCGAGATATCGCGTAGAACGCAGGCTTCTTGACCAAGTAGTAATCAACAATGGCCCATGACATGGTCGGCCAACAGTCGTTCAGCTGCCACACAAGGACACCGCCGCATTCTCGAGCACCCGGTCGTCCCCAGCTCCGCCTCCACGCCTTGTATGCGTACCGCATCGTTTCAGCTTGGAGGACCTGGGTGATGTGGGTGAAGGATGTGAGGTCTGACGGCACAATGAAGTTTTCGGCAACATACGTCATCAAGCGGCGTTCATGATCACCAGCTTTGTTTCGGAAGTCCATCATCATTGAGCCAGGGTGCTGTTGCTGTGCGTCGGTGATGACCCGGCGAAGGGACTCGACGTGAGGGTAGGCTTCCATTCCAAATTCGCTCACGAAACGCCCGACAAGTCCCGCAGAATCTTGATATCTGCGCATTTGGCCGTGCCAGACTACGTTTTGTCAGAATGTTACCATCAAATCGAACTCCATCAGAGAACTCACTATTCCACTGGTGAACATCGCCCACAGTTGGGTCAGTTGTGTGTTTCCCATCGCCCCAAGGGCTTCCAGGGTGGTAAATTCTGGATGGGTCCTCTTCCTGCACCCATTTTGGCAGCAAATGCTCATAGATATACCGCGCCGGGAAGGTCGACCGTCGCCAGGACTCCGGATCGGTGTCGTCCTGGTTATATTCAAGCTTATACCTCTCCTGGACCTGGTAGTCCTCGTTGTTTCCGGCCCATATTACCAAAGATGGATGCGATCTCAGCCTCCTAATGTTTTGTCGTACCTCTTCCTCAACGGATTCAAGGAAGGAGGTGTAGGCTGGGTAACTGGCGCACACGAAGGCAAAGTCATGCCAGACTAAGATGCCTAACATATCACATGCCTCCATGAAGGCATCGTCCTCATAGATTCCACCGCCCCATACACGAATCATTACTTGATTGGACTCTACGATGAGTTTCATCCAGTCAAGGTAACGATCCTTGGATATTTGTGCAAGATAACTGTCGGCAGGAATCCAGCACGACCCGCCGGCAAATATATCGACACCGTTGATCCGGAAGTAGAAAGACTTGCCAAAGTCGTCTTTTTCTTGCACTAGTTGACACCGTCGGAACCCAATGAGTTTGATTTTCCCGTCTAGTTTCGTGTCCCCACGGATGAGGTCCGCAGACAGTTGGTAACGGGACTGCGACCCATAACCGTGTGGGTACCACAGAGAAGGAGAATCAAGCTTAAATGTAGCCTTTACCAATCTATCAGGCCCAATGTCGCATTTCTGCTCAAAGACTGCCTTGTCTTCGTTAAACAGGGACAAAACGACAGTGTCCCCCTCTTGCGCACCTGCCCCAACTTGCGCGTACAAGTTTCCAGAGCATGTTTTGTTGTCTGCAGATACTTCGTACTGTGTCCATACATCATCGATCCTGACAGTGTACTGCTCAAGTACAACCGGGCGCCAAGGTCCTGCAGTCATCAAGATCGGGCCCCAGTCCCAGCCCCAATTGTACTGTGCTTTACGTACGGGGATGCGGCTCGATTCAGTCTGTCGAACGTGAAAGACGTGCTCCGGATGCTGATGGACCAGCTCTCGCCCACGGAGAAGTGCGGATTGAAATACAATCTGGAGCTCATTCTCTTGACCAGAAAGAAGGAACTCGGAGATATGCACCCTATGCGAAGTATGCATGTTCTCCGACTCCAGGACCGTGATCCCATTTAGAGTCACAGTAGCGAATGTATCGAGCCCGAGGAATACCAAGTCTGTTGTGGTACCTTCTCGAGATGGTGCCGTGAACTTGGTGCGGTAAACCCAGTCCTTTTCTGCGATCCATTGTACCGCAAGTTCATTCGCATCCACGAACGGATCGGGAATTCTAGAAGTCAATTAATATTTCGAAATGTTGTGAGATATTTTCCATTGGGCAGTGCGTACTTTTCGTTGGCAATAAGGTCAATGTGGACTTGGCTGGGAACCCTTTTTACAGGGAGCCAACATTCGTCAGAGATGTCATCCGCCTGCTTCATAGACCATCCGGTCTTCAACTCTTGCGTTGACTTTTGCATCATGTCGAAAATGTAACTTTGCACAAGGAGGTCTGAATCCAGCGAACCGCGTTAGGACGTCAGCAAGTTTTATCCCTGCTGGCGGATCAAGTGATAAAGATACGGCATTTTGAAACTGCGTCCGATTTCAACGTGTGGACTCCTCCGGCAAAGGGGAATTCGACTACTCCGTAGGTATCCCAGGGCTCTCGTGCCTAAACAAACGCCAAGGTTATTATTCCCGCTTTCCACAAATGGCACGGAAATTCCAAACCCCGAAGAGCACGGAGAGGACGGAACGTGGGGGAAAGCAGACGGATCTTCATGAACCTTTCCCAATGCTACGAAAGAGGGAGAAAAAGAACTAGAAAGAAGGGGCTCGCCCGAATGGCAAAGAGAAAAATATAGCTAATATGTCGGACAATACGTTCTCATTGTCGGATAGTAAGTCTCGTGGAAACATATTTGGCCATGTTACTGACCACATCAGTACAAACCCATCGAGTTGAAGGCGATTGCTGGATCGCAATCCACGGGAATGTTTACGATGTAGGTCCTGAATGCATGTCCGTCTAATTGCAGCTTTCGCTAATAATACCAGGTTAGTAGGTTCTTAAACAGCCATCCTGGAGGGAAGGCAATAATTCTCCGACATGCTGGCACTGATGCGACCCGTGCTTTTCAAGACGTTCATCCAGCTGAGCTTCTTGATGAGTATTTGACTTCTGATCAAGTATTGGGTCAATTCGAGCCCACTTCTGAAGATCTCAAGAACGATGGACAGCCTGAGCATATACCCAGTCCTCCATTGAATACGATCTTGAGTATTGCGGAGATGGAAAGACTAGCTTTAAAGCGTCTTACTCCTAAAGCACTTGCATACTACGCGTCCGGTACAGATGATGAGATCACAAAACACGCAAATGGAGCCATCTTCAAGTCTATTCTCCTTCGACCGAGGGTCTTTCTTGATTGCACCCACTGCTCACTGTCAACCACTATTCTCGGAAACCAGGTCGGACTGCCAATATTCATTGCTCCGGCAGCGATGGCGAAGTTGGCACACCCATCAGGCGAGATGGGTATTGCTGCAGCTTGCTCCCGTCTCAATGCTCTCCAGATAATAAGCAAGAATGCATCTGTATCTGTGGCCGATATTGTGCGCGCAGGCCCGAATGCGGTGTTTGCCTGGCAGCTTTATGTTCTCAAGGATATCAAAGCCACAGAGCGGACCTTGGCGCAGATAAAGGGGATTCCACAAATAAAATTCATCGTCTTGACTCTTGATGCTCCATTTCCGGGCAAGCGCGAGGCCGATGAGCGTTATAAGGCCGAGGAAGTCGCCGGGGGAGGGCCTTCGCAAGTATGGGGGACAGAATCCGCCCTCACCTGGCGCAAAACTCTGAGATGGCTTTCTGCTCATACCGACCTTCCGATTGTCCTTAAGGGTATCCAGACCCATGAGGATGCGTATGGGGCAACGATGTTCTCGGCTGTTAAGGGTATCATTATCTCCAATCACGGTGGAAGGGCATTGGATACGGCCAACACACCGATGCAAGTTCTGTTGGAAATCAGAAAATTTTGCCCTCAGGTCTTTGATCAGCTCGAGGTTTTCATTGACGGAGGCATTAAGAGGGGAACAGATGTTGTGAAGGCGCTAGCTTTGGGTGCAAATGGCGTTGGGCTTGGCCGGGCTGCACTCTACGGCCTAGCTGTGGGTGGAGAGGAAGGCGTTTACAGATCTCTACAGAGTTCGTCTTCTTCTATCTATTCTGTATCGAATTTATTGTGCTAATATCTTATCATAGTTCTCTCAGACGAGGCAGCCACAGCTATGAGACTCCTCGGTGTCAGCTGTGTGAGCGATCTCCAGCCACAACATGTGAGTTGCAGCATCCCATTTGAAGCTTCAGGGAGTGCAGAATGCCAACAACTGATTGTAAAATTCATAGGTCAACACTTCGATGTTGAACGCTCAGCTTTATGACGGACCCACCGGCTTAGACCTGGTGGAAAATAGCCTAATGGCCAAATTATAGAGCGAATCGTAACTATTCCTTTTCAAACTTCGTCATTTGAAATACATCCGCTTTTGCTTGCTACATCTTGCTCTTAATCTAAATGACAAGAGACTGTTTCTATTAAATGCCCCTAACCACAGTGGTTGGTTGACATCGAAACTCTGCCTATATACATATGTCGTATGTCACACCCTAGTCTCCGTAAAAATAGGTGTTAATCTTTTTAGCCTATAGAGTATATGCCCTCATCTATATTTCTAGAATAATTCGTTAAATATAATTCAATCAGCATGGAGAACCAAAAAAAGAAAAAAGAAAAGAAAAGAAGAGAAGAAACGGGTATGCAAAATTCGGAGTTAAAAAAGGAAATGCAAAAACGACGGCTGCATGATTCGAACATGCGCCCGCGAACGGAATTGATTTCTAGTCAATCGCCTTAGACCACTCGGCCAAACCGCCGTATTGATTAATCGGAAATGCGACGTTGTCATTTTCTGGACGACCCCTACCTGATTACGGGATTAACAAATAGAATATTCTATTAAAAACCGCACTTAAATTTGGACCCTTTCTATTTTCATTCTTCTAATTGGCGATTCTGGTTAGTCTCGCAAAATGATATTTCCGAGGGCCCCGTCACGAAGATTTGAATCTCCGTGCGACGATTTCGGGCTAGTGTCTCAAAAAGAATTGGGGCCTCATGCGTCCCCCGTAGGGATTGCATGGAAGTCTACTCCGCACTATACAATATGGGCATCTTCCAGACGTTGGGTATTTTTATAAGAGCCCTTCGATGGCCTGCATTTTTGACAAAAGGATTCCCGGGCATTATCATCGCACCTTCTTTGGAGCTTTGTGACAATTAAGGGCCAATTGTTATTCTTCTTATCGCAATCCTTTCGAAACCCTTCCCATAATTTTTCTAACTGTGCAGGGCAACATCCTTTACTTCCATTATGAGCAAGATAGAGGAAGGCCCTACCCTGAAGGAGGTAGAAAATATGGAGGAGTCAATTGAAACATACGCGGCCATCATGGCGGCACACAAGCCGGATCCTCGCGGTCCAGGCTACATCAAGCTGTATATCCTATCGGCCGTTGTGTTCCTGTGTTCAACTATGAACGGTCAGTCCTCTGCACCAATATAATTATAATTCGGCTTCCTAACACCATATAGGATTTGACAGTTCGTTGATGGGATCTATCAATGCCCTCCCAAACTACATTGAGTACTTTGGCTTGCCTGAGAATGGCAACGCTAGTACTGGCATTGTCTTTGCTATTTTCCAGGTCAAGGCAATATTAGCTAAGTGATTACGTGTTATACTGACTTTTTATTAGGTTGGTCAAATGTGCGGCGCACTATTCATCTGGATGGCCGACTGGTACGGGCGAACATGGCACATTTTCTTCGGCTGTCTGGGTGTCTGTGTCGGCACCATTGTGACAGCTTTTGCAACAAATCTCCCAACATTCATTGCTGGAAGATTTATTCTGTCCTTCTTCGCAACATGCGCACATACTGCTGCTCCCCTTTATCTGGTCGAACTTGCTCCGCCAGCTTATCGGGGAACCATCGCAGGAATGTATAACACTTTTTATAATGTCGTATGTATCTGAGAGAGCACATACAAGACACAGAATATTCTTGGTCTAACTTTAGAATTTTCAAGGGCTCTGTGTTTTCAACATCAGCAGTGTACGCATGCCACAAATACCTTGCCGACCAAGGCAATTTGGATTGGCGGGTCCCCCTTTGGCTTCAGATAGTGTGCCCGGGGCTTGTGTGTCTAGCTATCAAATTCTACCCTGAATCTCCGCGATGGTACGTCGATATTCCGTTGCTAGTGTCTTGTCTTGTTAAGCTAACTCTTGATAAAGGCTCATGTCCCATGATCGACACGACGAGGCGAAAGCTATTATTGCTACCTATCACGCGAATGGTGACGTTGACCATCCGCTCGTTACATTGCAGATGAGACAAATCCTCGCAACTGTCGATGCCGACCATCAAGCTAGTTGGAAAGACCTCCTCGACCTCCGGGTGCTTGTTGAGTCCCGTTCTAGCCGCTATAGACTCATGCTTAACATTGCGTTCTCTTGGTTCGGCCAATTCAGCGGAAACAAGTATGTCAAAGGTTGTGGGTAATAGCGATTTGAGTAGCTGACAACATCTCTAGCATCGTGTCCTATTACCTCCCCATCATGCTCAGTGGCATTGGCATTACAGACACCAACATGAAATTGATTCTCAATATCGTGTATGCGGTCGTTGGCTGGGTGGCTTCCATCTTCGGTTCCCGTCTACATGATGTTGTAGGACGCCGCAAGATGCTTATTACAAGCACGGCTGGTATGGCAATTTGTCTGTCAGTCGTAGCAGGTTGCGCCGCCGGCTACACCGAGTACGGCAGCACGACCGCATCGACCGTCAGCATTGTCTTCATCTTCCTTTTCGGTTCAATCTTTGCTTGTGGCTACACCCCAATGCAGCCTATCTACCCCGCTGAAGTCGTGAGTAACAAAATGCGAGCCAAGGCCATGGGTACCTTCAAGTTGACGGCCGGGGCGGCTGGGTTTCTCAATACCTTTGTTGGTCCCATTGCGCTATCAAATGTAAGAAAAGGCCGCGAACCTTATGTGCTCGGCACTACTAATGGATTCTCTAGATTGGATACTGGTTCTATGTGTTCTTTGTGTTTTGGGATACTTTTGAGATGACCTTCATGTATTTCTTCTTTGTTGAGACTAAGGGACTCACACTCGAGGAGCTTGACGTTATATTTGAGGCAAAGAACCCGCGAAAGGCCAGTGTCGAAGCTGCAAACGCTAGGAAACGACTTATTGTGGCTGGAAGGAGTGAGGTATAGTCTTAGGCGCTCTGCAAATATATATATTGAACGATACTTTCATCCAGAATGTATGCCAAGTTTGGTATTGCCGTGATATTGAGTACAATGGTATCTAAAGAGTGATTTCGATGCGTTTGAAATATTTCTAAGCTATTCAGGTACAACCCCACGTGAAGTCGTAGATTTGAGCTCGGGACCCCGGGCGGTGCACCTGCAGATCAATCAACCCCGAGGATCGGCCCCCGGAAAAACCAACCTCAATTGTTTATTCCCCGCAAAACTTCCCTCCTCATTCGCATTGCCAATACAATATGCGCCATTCTGAGCGAAGATTATGACGGGACTGACAGAATGGGATCTCTTGTTCCATCATGTTCCACACATTTGAGACCCGAGACCCGGGGAATGTGCGACACCAAAGCTTCAACCCCCACGCAGAGTGAACAAGTCGTGTTCGGAATGTACCCGCCGAAAGGTGAAATGCGACGGGGGAAATCCTTGTACGAGCTGTCAGTACTATCAAGTTTCCGAATCCTGCGCCTATAGACAACGAACTAGGCGTCAGGCAACGAGCAGGAGGTAAGCGATTTAACCCCTCCAAGGGTCAGTAAATCATGTCGCTAATACACGCAATCCGCTCCGTACAGCGCCCTTGAAAAAGTCACAGAAACACTGCGTCGTCAGGACGGGGTTCTGCGGTTACTCTTTCCTAATTGCTCCTTAGAGGAATTGGTTGGAAAGGATCGATCGGAGCTCATGCGCTTGTTGTCGCATGACTCACCAGAAGACGGACCCTCGGAGTGCTATAGTGAAGCGCCCCCTGTCGACATATCATCCGTTATTTCCAGCCACCTTGAAGATGCCCATGACTCACCAGAGGAGTCAGATAGGGGGGAATCGGGAGAGGAAAGGTGCTGGGACGAGTCGGCGCACAACCCCGCCACCATTGCAGCCAGCGACGATATAAATGCAATCAGTCTGGCGGGCGATCGACATCGCCGCTCGTACCTGGGCATATGCTCCGTAAGTGCTGTTCTACGCGCATTGTTCCGGCTTTGTCCTGCCGCGAAAGACCGCATTGTGGAACAGTCGAAGACCTGGCCCGAGGCCCAACAAGAAGTCAATCGGCCATCTGCTTTGAATCCGCATCTCGGATTTCCAGTGCCATCTGATTCCCTGCGAGAGATGCGCTATATTGGGTTTTACTTCGAGAATATTCATGCCATCACCCCTTTCTTGCATGAGGAATCTTTTAGGGCAACCTTCGCTGCCGGCGATCGGCAAACTCCCGCATGGTTGGGTCTCTGCAACATGGTGCTCACGGTGGGCTCCATTGCCTCAGGAAGTGATACTGCACACATATACTATTACGATCGGGCTCGGTCCTACCTTGACCTGGACTCACTTGGATCTGGTAACTTGGAGACTCTTCAAGCTCTGTGTTTGCTGGGCGGGTACTATCTTCATTACCGAAACTCCCCAAACATGGCATACGCGATCCTCGGTGCTGCCCAACGCTTGGCCATAGCATTGGGGTTACATCGGGAGTCCCCAACGCGTGTCGAACATCAGGATGCGGATATTGGCCAACGGCACGCCATCCGGCTGGAAAGTAGACGACGTACTTGGTGGAGTCTGTACTGCCTTGACACATGGGCCAGTATGACACTGGGTCGCCCGACATGTGGACGCTGGGATAGTAGCACGATGAACACATCATTGCCCACTGCTCTTTATCCGGACGATCATTTTGCAGCCTCTTTGAGAGCCAGCACCCAGTTCTGTCACATCAGCAACCGTCTCCAGCACCGTTTCGCCCAATCCACCAGGATCAACATATCCGAAGCTCAAGGTCTTGATCACGAACTTCAGGAGTGGTATAGGTCATTATCTCCTATCCTCAAAGAGACCATTAACACGCCGCCTCGTATCACCGTGGCGCGCGAGTTCCTACGCAACAGGTACCACAATGTCCGCCTAATGCTATCCCGGTGCTTTCTTTTGTACAAGGCGTATGGTGACCACGAAAGACACAGCATGGGGCAAGCAGAAGAGCAAATGGCCGACCTCTGTCGTGCCATCGCCGCCGAAGCCATCGACGCGATCGCGCTTCACTGGGTTCCCAATCGAACCCAAGTCTGGAATTCTGCTTGGTATCTGTTCCAAGCTTGCATGGTTCCACTCCTTTCCATTGCCATGGCTGCATCATCTAACGGAACACTTGGTTCCGACGACGTCATATCTTGGTACTCGAGCTTAAACAAAGCGCTTGAGATCTTTGCGGAGATGAGACCATGGATGCGGGCTTCTGACCGTGCTCCAGACATTGTGGCTGTCCTGTTCCAAGCGGTTTCTCAGGGTGCTGAGGGAACTGAGCGTACGCCATCGGTGATCGATGGTGGGTCTCATCTGTTCGGTTGGGCCGATGAACTTTTGACGGATATGGACTGGAGTATGGTTTTCAGTGATGAGAACATATCGCAAAGTTTATTTTCGTTAACCTGAGCTCTATCTGAACCAAGGCCGCTCAAAAGTACCTTATCATCATGCTGCTAAACAGCAACTGCGGTGTGGGCGGTTGTCCTTACATGAAGGTAGTCTTTCAACAATCTTTGATATACAAGCATAAAAAAAAGATTATCTAACCTCCAGTTGGATTGATATTTCCATTCTGGGATTTCCAAGATCTGGTGTATTGAGTCCCTATAACCCGATGTGGAATATGGATGCATCATATACCAAACATGGTCTTCAAAGTCAACGTCACGCCATCCACCACCTAATCACAGCCAGTAACATACTGCATGGGAAGATTATAACATCCGAAATCCCTTTGTTGGTGCAATTCGTTTCAAGAGGAGCTGGCTCTCCATGAGTCGAGTCAACCTAGGTTTGCCATGCACAGCCACGGAAACTATCAGGGTATATACCCAAGAGGGCCAAATGGTGTCCACAAATACTGGCTAGATCCAGTGCTGCACATCTCAGGGCCCGTTATCCTAAATATTGAGGTAGCTGTGTTTGCTACGTTAAATTAGTGGTTCTCCTCAAGTGTAATAGCTTGTAGCGTCTACTGACTTGAAAATCCGCAGGGTTATAGGTTGGCACATTGCTCATGTATATTTCAGATTGGTCTGTACCGAAGTAATCCCTCAGTTCAGAAGGTTGCCAGACTGGTGCGTCAAACTGAAAGCTCATGATGTCAGATGGCCCGCCGTAGTACAAAGGGATCTCGCTCGGTGTAGATGTGGTTGTATTGATCCCGGACATCATGGCCATCAGTGGATCGATTAGTGGTTGCAGGGAATCTTCCGCGCACACATTGCCCGAGGCAGAGCGGGTATCGGCGATGCTGTTACTCACACTTCGATTCATCGGAGGATTCCAATCCAGTTGCATGGGGGACACTTGTATAGGGGAGGTATCCTCTGCACTTGGCATGATCAGGTTCCAAGCGCCAGCGGGGTCTAGTTCCTCTGCATCAATTGGCGTCGTTTGCTCTCTAAGGGAACCCTCACGGGGTGATCGCGTCACAGGGGTAAATGCCTGTGTACTAGACGGCTCACGCACACATGATTCCCCGCTGTCGGCACATGTGGAACAAGGGTAGTTGGAATCACACTTTGTCTTACGACGGCGACATGTCTGACATGCTGACGGTGTTCTTTTCGTCGGAAATACACTATGCTGGAGCACATGTCGGTTCAAACTGTCACTGTTGGATCGATCAGCCGACCCTCTATAGCCAAGACGGCAAGCAGCCAGCGAGCGGCTCTTACCTCCTGGCAAAGCTTCGCCCACAAATGCAGCATTCATGTCGGCGCGAGTTTGTGTGTATGGCCATATGGCGATTAAGATGCTCTTTGCGTAGAAAGGATTTTCGACAGTCGGGATCAGTGCAGACGAAGGGACCCGACGAGACGGGAGCTCGACGGGAAGGTACAAGCGCCATATTCTTCTTTGACGGAGACGATCAAGGCGATCATGGGTGGATCAAGGATCAAGAAACTTCCCGTTGTGGAGGGAGACGATCGTGTGTGGGGTGGGAAGAGAAAAGCCCGAACGGTTCTTATCATCAGCGGGGATATTCAGGGTCTTTAAAAACGGGGAATGGCGATGGCGATCTCTGCTTCAGGCCGAATACAACCTCAATAACCCGCTCTATGCGAGAAATAAGCAGGCTTGGTGCCAAAAGTTACGATCTACAGACGGATTTCCCTTGGCAATTGGTCTCTAATCCTATGAGATCACTGCTCATGGAAGCCATCGCGCGCCAAGCTCCGGAAATTCTCCGAATGAAGGTTCTCGCCAAGCACAGCCTCACTCTTAGATCCAACAAGCTCCAAGGCCCGTGTCGGTGGAGCTGGATACCTATATGTATCATGCAGGGTCCATCCATATGGCGAGGTGCAGACCCCTCGTTCTTGTTTCTCTCGTTTCCCCTCTCCCCTCGTCCACTCTTACTTTATTCCTGTTCCTGTTTCTTCCGATAGCAAGTCAAGCTTCGTTTGATTGCTTCTTCTTTGGATATGGACGACCTTGGGGTTTCCCCTTATCTGCAACTTCGCGCCGTCGAGCTGCCAGTGCCAGGGTCTTGCATCTCTGAGGCCGTTGATTTGCTGTCGAATCCAGGGATTCCACTCCTTTGGAACGAATACGGCTGATGGCTCCTGCGACCTGCCCAATTGCCTTTTAATTTGTGCTGTTGGTTATATTAGTATCCATCCCACTGTGAATAATACAGAACACCGTCCGTATACTTTCACCGTAAAAAGACGCGTGCGCTAGTCGCTGACTGGCTGTGGTCGTCTTGACGCTAACGTCTTATGCAGGTAAGCGGCCACAAGGTACACGGGTTGATATCATTAGAGCACCGTGACTGCTCTGAAACCCACGTGTATATCTTTCATTCCGAAAGTCACCCATGTGAACCCTAGAACACGAAACACAGATATGTCCTTGTCTGTGGCGCATTGGCCGTGAGATTGACGGTTGATCACGGAGAAGGTCCGTGCACTATAAGCCCTGAGACATCGCGCATAGCCTCGGCGTCAGATGTACTTTGAATATGATGGGAGTTCTTCAGTCCTCACCATTTACTTTCGAAACACTCTTAAGCTATTGCAGTTGTTCTGTCCCTGAATCCAAATATTGGTAGTACTCCAGTAGAGCTCTAAATAAAGTGGTGACTACGAGGACTGATATCTGGCACAGAGCTACACACCTCGGCCAAACTTGTTTTTCCCTCCTCGCGACTTACCCTTGAAGGCCTCTTCAATCTCCCCAAAGGTCCGACCTTTCGTTTCATGCATGAAGACGACGCCAACAATGACGGTAATAACACAACATCCACCGAACAAAAAGTACGCACCGAAGCTGCTCTTTGCAAGGAGGACAGGTGTCGTCAAAGCGACCAAGAAGTTGCACACCCAGTTGCTCGAATGAGCCAAAGTGGTAGCGGATGCTCGTGTTCGCTGGGGCTGAATCTCGGCGCTGTACACTTTCACGGAGATTCCCCAGCTGACAGAGTAAATAGCGGAAAAAATGTAGATGCAGACAATCACAACCCAGCGACCGGCGCCAGTAGTCTTGTGCACGGCATTTCCAGCATAAAGACCGCCCATCAAAAACATCAAGACCCCCATTACAACACCACCGTAGACAATGCTGCTTCGGCGGCCCCATTTATCGGCATAAATGAGACCCGGGATTGTGACGGCGAAAATCACGAGTGCTGACACGCCAGAGGCCAGAAAGCTTGCTTCCGACGAGGCAAGACCGGCTTTTTGAAATAGCTGTGGAGCATACTATTGATTTCGCGTTAGCCACTGTCAGTTGTATCAATTTGTAGGAAGGGATTGAGCGTACATAAAGGACGCCATCAATGCCACTCATCTGCTGCATGCCCATCAAAAAGACTGCAAGGATGGTCCGGCCTATAACATCCTTGGAGAAGATAGCAAGAAGCTTATCGATGGTTCCGTCTTTGACCGTCTCGGTCTCAGAGTTAACTTCCTGAGTCCGCACTTGCAGCACAACCTTTTCACGCTCTGCACGGCTGACGCCCAATTTATCCCACGCCTCTTCGGCCATTGCATATCGGCCATGAAGTCCCAGCCACTGAGGTGACTCGGGTAAATACAGAAGCGAAAGTCCACACAGGACCATGGAGAAGGCGGCAAGAAGGATGAACGGCATACGCCATGAAAGTGACGAGCGGAGACTCGATGTCCCATAACTGATGAAGTACCCCATGACCAATCCTAGGGTAGTAGCCAGTTGAGGGCCAGTCGTCAGAGCGCCTCTAGTACTAGTCGGTGAGATTTCACAAATCAAGACGACAAGATTCCCAAGGAAAAGCCCTTCGCCAACACCTTCCACGATGCGGCCAACAATGAACATAGATAGAGCGACGGCCCCGGCTTCTATTGCGGCTCCTGCGCCGAAGATGAAAACGCCGATGCAGATGCCCTTCGGTCGACCAAGTCGATCGGCGACATAGCCAGCGAAGAAAGAGGATAGCGCTGCTGGAATCAAGATACATGAGACGATCAGGCCGTGGATCGTGGAGTTTTGACTACCAAATGACTTTTTGAAGTCCTTCATGTCGGTGACCGGGCCGATAATACCCGTGTCCATCCCGAAGAGGATTCCATTTGCTGAGCATAGAATGCATGCTAGCATGTATTTCGGCGGGTTTTTGAACTGGAGGGGAATTAACCCCATTACTTCGGCTTTTAGGGTTTGGCCGACAGGTCTGAGAAGAAGTTATCCAAGGGCTGGGGTTGTTGAAAATGTGAAAAAGAAAAAATACTTCCAAAAGTAATAAAATAATAAGCAGGAAAGAAAACTCTTACCCCTCTGAAGATTTTGTTTCCTAATGCCCAGACCCACGTAGGGCAGTCATTATCTGATTAGGTACTGTACTGCATATTCTATGAACCTATTATGTTCAATTACAAAAATTGCTCATGACTTCTACGTATCATAACTCCCTCTTTTACTTGCGAAAATTGACCAGCAGGAAACCAACATCTATATTGTATAGAGTACAACCCACACAAAAGAATGTGTTGCAATAAAATACGGCATTATTCCACTATTATTCCACTAGACCACCACGAAAACCAAAGTTCCTGTTTAGGGCCTTGGGGGAGCCATATCCCAGTCTGACAGAATGGACTAGACCTCGGAGAAGGGTCCTCCGGTGAGATTGTATTTGAGCTCTTCACGGGCCGAATCGACGTGAGAGGAACGAGCGCCGAACATTTTGTGGGCCGTCCTCCAATTACTACCTCGGGGTATCTCCTGGGGGTTTCCCCTCGTTTGTGATTTCTTTTTTTTTATGGGGCTTCCGGGGCTTGACTAGTCGCTTTTATGGGGCTTTTGGGATTGATTCAAGAGAATGTCGGCTTTTAACGCAAATGCCAAGCCGGACCCGGGTATTTGGTTAATATATCCATTTTGCCTGCGAAAGGAAATATAAGCCCTCTTACAGGTATTTTGCTAGGAAAAAAAGGCGTTCGGAAATAGATTCACCGCCTCTCGTATGTGGGAATTGGGTTTTGTTCATTATGTCAAACAACAAAGCCGGCCTCACTTGGGTCTTTGTGATTAGCGCAATGAGATCAATAACAACTCCTTTCATAGTTAGTGAACAATGGCCTTTGTCCGTGTATTTGTTTTTTTTGAATCGAAACAAATAAGTGCCGACTCCCACAGCATAAATACTGTTGGCTTTCCCTCTCCGAGTATAGAACTAAAGGCACTCTTAAATTGTCTTCCATATCATCCAAATGCTTCAATCTGCTCTTTACCGGATCCTGCGGATTTTCTTGGTTACCCTTGACTTCTGGTTCAACACCGATATCCCTACAAGCCAAGTCGATAGGAGCGGTAAGCCCTCGCAGTCAATCCCAGTTAACAATATGAATACTTCGTCTAGTGCCCAACAAACCGAAACCTCAATTTCTGACTTGATCGAACTCGAGACCTGGGAGGAAATCTACAAAGAGGAGTGCCTCAGTTTCAAGGCTGGCCTAGAGACCCAAGCTCGGATCCTGAGAAATACAAGTGAAGGAGCCGATCGTATAAAGGATGTACGCAAAGAGCTAATCTCACTTTCCCATCAGGCCGAGCGAATCAAAGAGGCTGCATTTGAAATGGTCGATGAGACCCCGGACAGTGTATATGTCCGAAACGCAACTCCCGAGTGGCTCTCCTCCCGATTTGAAGATCCGCAGCTAGAACAGGTATGTATCAGCATGGAATATAGCTTGGACCGACTGGCGTTTGAGCTTAGGGCTGACCCGTCAATGGACCTTATGGTCGCCGGACACCTTGAGCAAATGACGGACGATATTGAAATGGACTTTCTTTAGACACTGCCAATGAATTCATTCTTTTATTTTGCGACCTCCAATAGATCTTTCAAGTTGTAATAAGTAAGACAAGTTGGCCGCCTGTGAAAAATAACATTGGGATATCTTTTCCCAGTGTCTATTTAGGTCTCTTTCTAATACGCGTAACTCGATCTCCTAATTATACTAGACTCTTCTTTTTAATCTAAGTAAGCTATAAAAAAGATAATCTATTCTTTTACTGGAACCAACCTTGGAAAGATTCGACTTGTATTACAAATCATTGCAGACATCCATCCATCTATGGATGGATTTCGGGTTACGCTGCCCGCGTTCAGACAATTATCGGACCTCAACTACAGCCACAGATTGTAGGCCAACGTCTATGTAGGAGTGAATCTTGAAAGTCGATAAAGGCCTTGGAGTTGATTGGGAATAAAAGTATGCTCTTCATGCTAGAAGATGAGCTACTTTTGTCTGGAGCTGTTACTTGTCTCTAACTAAATATTGGAAGGGTCACTATGTTACTCCATAGGTTGAAAAAGGATTACAATCTATCGCGATTTATGAAGGTACCGAGTACTGAACTTGGGCATTCAAAAATTTCTGTGTTCTCACGTTGTTGGGGGGACTCTTCACAGTTTGATCACAACTTTTCCCATGTGCTTCGCATTCCAAAGGTGATCAAATGCCGCCTGCGAATCTTCAAAGGAGAAAGTGACATTGTCAAGGACAGGCTTCAGACCAACCTGCTTATCAGCCAGGAAGTCGCACAAGGCTTGATGGTCAGCCTTAGAGCCAACACTGATTCCCCTAGAAGCACATTCGGTTAGCACATTATATCTTAAATGAAAGGGGCGACATACCTAATGGTGGCGCTCTTGGTCAAGGTAGGGAGGACGGTATCAGGGAAGCGATCGACATCAAATCCACCCAAAAATCCGACCAAGGAAACCGTGCCCCTTCTGGCGAGAGAGGAGAGGCTTTGGGAAATTGTGGAAGGCCCAACGTTCTCGACGACAACATTGACACCTCGTCCGTCAGTAAGGCGACGTGCCTCCTCTTCCCATTTAGGCTGGTCTCGGTAGTTAATAGTATCGACAGCGCCTGGACCCCCACAGGCCTTTGCCAGCTCGAGCTTTTGGCCAGAGGACGAGGTGATGATTGGACGGATGCCGGCAGCCAGGCAAATCAGCAGGCCGAACATGCTAACTCCGCCAGTACCTGAGTGGAAAAAAAAGGAAATTGTTAGTATGTTCGATGATGACTCAAGAGATAGATTCGGTCTCACCTTGGAGAAGAGCAGTGCCTTTGGATCGAGGCATTTCCAATGCATTCCACGCAGTTACTCCTGCGCAAGTGATACAAGCGGCCTGCCAGAGATCAGTATGTTGGGCATCACCATATTTGGAAGATACTAACCTCTTCCCAAGAGAGGTGCTTGGGCAAATGGAACAAGACATTTCGGTCAAACACCGCATATTCGCGCAACACTCCATTGACATCACCACCTAATACCGATGTCTCTTCTTCAGTGCCATCAATATTGCTCAAGTCAAAAATAGGCGCAACGCGATCTCCGATTTGGAAATCGTGAACGTCAGACCCAGTTCCAATGACCTCGGCGGCGCAATCGGATGCAGGGATACATCGCTCAATGACCGAAACCGGGTACGTCCCGTGCATCATTGCCACATCCCTGTAGTTCAGGGACACAGCGTGGATGCGAATGAGTACTTCACTGGGCTTGAGAGAAGATGGAAGCTCTTCTGTGACAGCATCAAGTGGTTTAGGCATGCTGCCCGCGCTGTGCCGGAAGGCTTTGTAGGTTCGGGGGAGGGCCATCGTAGTATAGATTCTCAGTGGGAATGATTTTGATGATATTGAAATCTCGAGGCAGTGGTCGAATTTATAAATTTAAGAAATCGGGGTGGACCTGTATACCACTGATTAATAAATGTGTTGCATCACCGGCCACCCACCTGGTATCCACCGGTATCCCACCAGATCTCGGGCATTGCGTCAACGGTTATTAAACATTCATCAAGACCTCGGGAAGATCTATTCTGCAAACTTTGAAACCCACATCGCCCGAAGATCGTATTCCAAAAGGTAATCTTCGCATTACTGTACTGCGCCACTCGCGCCGGACCCCCACCGGGCTCCCACCGGACCTTCCACCGGGCCCTCCACTGGCATGAGCCATACTACTCTTCGCGAACTACGCGATGTGATTATCAATGTGACTGATATACTAGCACAAAGTTTTATGAACTACAGGGCGTTATAAATCTTGGTGACAACATTCTCTGGATGGGAAAATTTTAAATATGGCCCTGAACGTCTACTGCATAAAAGTGATAGGTACACGAAATCCAAAGCGTTGAGCCTGTTTCGGAAGTACCTGCTCTCTTATCCTTCCTTCCTCTTTACTACTCATTGCCTCACCCAAAGTGGCCCCTCTCAAGCTCTTCCTGTAAGTCTCTCCATCCAGATTTGACATCCCATTCTGAATATCCAGGACTGGCGTCACTGGCTTTGTTGGAGGTGATAGCCTGTACGCTATCGCTAATGCCCACCCCCGAGTGGCAACTGTCAGACTCGGTCCGCAACGCGGATAAGGCCGCCAAGCTCACGGCGCAGTATCTTAACATCCGCGTGGTGCGCGGCGATCTGGCCTCCGTCGATATTATTGAAGGAAGAAGTCGCGGATGCTGACATAGTTTTCAGCAAGTGTCCATCCCTATATCAACAGATATATCCCACTAACATCCTCTACTTTTAGACTTCGCCAACTCGGATCACGTTACTGCTGCCACTACAATCCCCAAAGGCGCCTAGCACCACAATCCTAAGCGGCCCGTCTGGATTATCTACACTTCCGGTACGAGAATATTGACTGTCGAAGACCTACGCGCTCGTACGGCTTCTAACGTTCCAAAGGATACAACGACTGGGAAGGTATGAGCGAGCTGCCCCATATGCCCCCTGATGCCGTACACCGAAACGTCAACGAGATCGTAATCGACGCCTCCAAGTCGAACCTGCCAGCGTGAAGACGGCCATCGTCTGTCCCCCGATTATATACGGGGCTGGCCCTGGACCTTACCCCCAAAAGGGCCTTCTAGCGAGCCTTAGTGTTGCTGTTCTGTAGCTTAGGAAGGGATTTCTCGTCGGCCAAGGCCAGAATGTCTGGCATCACGTCCATATCCAAGATCTAACGAAGCTCTAACTCGAACTTTGTGACGCCGCGACTGCTGGTGGGAGGAAGGCTACGTGGAACAATGACGACTACTACCTAGCCGAGAATGGGCCGTTCGTTTGGGGCGATATCCAGCGCGCAGTTACAAAGGCCGCTTTTGAAAAGAACCTCATTCCCTCGCCGGAGGTTGAGCAGTTGAATGACGCGCAGATTATGGAGCTCATTCTGGAGGGTTACTATGGTTTCTATGCTTGGGGTACGAATTGGGCATGCTATTCGTGCCCGTAAGCTGTTTTGTTGGACGCCTACACAGCCGAAGATGATTGAACTGATTCCGAGTATTGTTGAGCTTGAAGCAAAGGACTTGGGCCTACTGTGAGAGGGTCAAGCAAGTCTCGATAGCATTATTATAAGAGGCTCGTGTTGAGCTTGATAAAAACATTTGAGGAAAATGTGGAACGCTTCAGGTATGCTGCTCCGAGTATATCTACCGCTGGCCGTAGCTAAGCTAGGTAAATTTTATTGCTACTTTTTCAAGATATTTTCATACCTGCGTCATACTCGCATGTCAACAGCCGTAATAGTACTAGTAGTTTGGAAGCTTCACATGATGTGACAATTAAGTAGATAGATCTCTGCTCTCTTCTTTCTTGTCTCTTCATATCTCTCTTCTGTTCTTTCATCATTCTTCCCTTTCATCCATCTTTCATTCAAATCTCTCTTTCATCCACCCTATTTTATACCCGCACTCATCTTTCATCATTCTCTACTACCTAGGTATCTACCTATATAGAGAGTATCCATATCAACCTTTCTTTTATACTATACACCAAAGCCCCACAGTGGGACTGGCGTATCCAACCACAACGCAGTACCACCGAACCCCCAACATTGTGGGGCTAACCGTAGCCAATCACAACCTCTTCCTTCAGCCATCCGAGATGGCTACCGCCGATGCTACGGACCATCACGGTGGCACGACACCCGACTCCCAAATCACCAACACTGGCCAACGAGCCAGCATTTCAAATACTGAGGATATTGATGCCAACGACATCAATTCCAAAGACAACAAGGTCGAAGTGACAAACGACCTCGATAGTGCAGACGTGCGTGCACCAGAAACGCAAGGGTCAAACCTACCGAAGTTGACCCAAGTCATAATTGCAAATGTGCGTCAACTGAAGCTCAACTCAAAGGACTCAGAAGAATGGGCTCTTTGTGCGAGGCACGCACTAGCACAGCTTTGACTACAACACTTGATCAACAGCAGTGTGCCCCGGCCAGCCAAGGGCCAACGCAACTACAGCAGATGGGTACAGTGGTCTCGCACTGTTGCCAGCTGGCTGTATCTCCAGGTCGACAAAAGCATACAGGAGAGACTCCAGAAACTCCACAGGATACCTAGCAAAGCGGACGCTCTATTTGACGGCATCCTGAAGATCGTTCGACAAAGCGAAAGCCCCATTCCCACCAGACTTCGAATTAACAACTACGACTACAATAGCCGAAAGAGATCGGACTTTGAGACTGTGAGGAAATATATCGCAACACATCGATCTCAGTATTACTTGCTCGGTTCGAACCTGCTCGTACCTATCAGCTAAGTGCTTGGGTTTCGCTGGGTGCTCCAATGCACACCAATACTAGGAGCTTGTGCAGGCAGATAGATCCATCTTCACTTCTTTTTCTCTTGCTTCTGGTCCTGTCAGGTCGGCTCCATAGTGAATGCACACATCATTGTCTCCATATAGATTTATCATCAAGTGTCATTCCCTGGAGCTTTCAACCAATATCAATATTTCTGAATAGGCGGGCTTCCAGATTTATTTTCCTTAAGTCTTACAATTGTACTGCTAGTAAGTATGAAGAACATTGCCAAGAGCCTACGAACCATTTTCATTGTGAATCCATCATCCACTGATATGGCCGACAGCTACAATGTGTCATATGCAAAAATTAAGCAACGGAAAGTTTTCAAGAATAACTGCATTCTGCTGTAGGTTCGTATCGAATTCCATCCATTATTCCTTCGATCATTTCCAGTAACCTTGAAATCCATCACCCGATCCATCAGCAAAATTCTTAATGAGCGTATACAGTTCGTGTCCTCGTGCAAACGACGCCTGTCTTCGAAGCCAAATTTCCAACATAATATCCTTTACTGCAAGTCCGACACCAAACAAATCCCACTCTGGATGTCCCGAGTACCAAATTTAGTCCTGCTGACCAGCCTTGATATCCTTGTTCTGATCCTGGTTCTGTCCGTTTCAGGGGTAGTTCTGGTAAGAGCCGTGGTTCTCGTAGTGACCATAGCTCTGGTACTTGCTGTTTGGGGAGCTTGGAATAACCTAGGCGTTGTTGGTGGGCTGGTCGCGGGGGATTGTGGAAGGGTTGAGCACCGAGTCGATATCGCTGTTCGAATCACGGGAGATCAGGGAGGGCTTGGTCACAGAGTTGACCAAGGAGGGGTTGGCCACCGACTTGATGTCGCTGTTCGTGTCACGGGGAATGATGGAGGGGTTGGCTACCGACTTGATATCGCTGTTCGAGTCGCGGGGGATCACGGAGGGGTTGGCCACCGAGTTGATATCACGGTTGAAGCCATCGTTGCGCTTCCAGTCGTTGTTGCCGTTGTTTCCATTATTTCCGTTGTTTCCGTTGTTACCGTTGTTGCCGTTGTTACCGTTGTTGCCATTGCCATGTCCATTGCCGTTCCCATTGCCATTTCCGTTGCCGCGCTTCCAGTTACCATTGCCGTTGTTGCCATTGTTGCCGTTGTTTCCATTGTTGCCGTTGTTGCCATAGTTCCCATTTCCGTTGCCATTGTTGCCTTCACCGTAGTTGCCATTGTTCTGGTCATTGTCACCGTCGCGCCAGCTGCGGCGGTTAGGAATCACACCGTTCACGAGGTTGGCTGCGTTGCTATTGACAGCTCCATTTAGGCCGGGAATAACATCACGCTTGTGGTCTACGTGCCACTGGCCGTTGGAGTCTGTCCAGCCATTTTGGTTGGCATGCCATTGACCATTCTGGTTGTTCGGGTTGTTGGCGTGCCATTTACCACTGCCATCAGTCCAGCCATTCTGGTTGTTGTGGTGGTCATTGGGCCAGTCACGGGGGCGGACATCGCCATCATTGTGCCACTGGCCGTTGGCGTCGGTCCAGCCATTGTTGTACTTCTGACCGTTTTGGTTGGCGTGCCATTGGCCATTTTGGTTGTTGGGGTTATTCGGGTGCCATTTGCCGCTGCCATCAGTCCAGCCATCCTGGTTGTTGTGGTCATTTGGCCAGTGACGAGGGCCGACAGCGCCATTATTGTGCCACTGGCCGTTGGCGTCGGTCCAACCGCCCTGACCATTCTGCCAGTGGTTATTTGGGTGCTGTCCACTCGGGTTCCATTGACCAGGCAGGGCGTTGGGGTCCAAGGGAAGCGCGAGGACAGACATGGGGGAGACTGTCAACAGAAGAAGGCCGTTGATCATAGAGTAGCGCATCTTGAAGGGAAGTGAACTCGACGAGGTTCGGATAAAGTATAGGAGGGCTGTTGCTTTCAGCGGTGCTATTGCGAGCTTAAAGTTATTGAGATTGCTTTGTGTTGAGAATGGTGATAGAAACCAGGTGGGTTGGTTTGGCTGTATTTATATCTGAGCAACTCAGCTCCAAACTCGAGGATGTAGTTCAATCTGCTGCTCAACAGCTTCGCGTGTGTTTGGCAAGAATGACTGAGATCGGCTCACGCTATTCCTCTATGCGGTTGATGGTAATTGGCGCTGCAAGGGACACCGGGCAAACGGGCAATTGATAAACATACTGCCTTGCGGGGGATAACCGATTGGATGCACGATGATCTCAATAGACTGGAAAAGAAGGAGTAGCATACGCAATAAATAGACTAAAATAAAACCTTAAACCTTACATGGTGGGGATTTGAAGGGTTTGCCTGATGAACCTCGCGTGAACCTGTCGAAGATCCGTAGATCTTGTCCACAGGGGACGAATCACATTACTTGAAGATCACCCGCGCTCGAATAGTGTTGATCCTGTCTTGCTATACAGCCGAGACATTCTTACGCCATCTTAATGCATCTGATGTTTCAAGATTGCCTTCCACGTAGTTGACAACCCCTTGAGGCAATTTTCACGTTGCCCATTCACCACGCATTACCATACTCATGGGATACCAAACATGTGAGACATGCAGGAAACACGTTGCTGCGGTTAGCAATAGCTATAAGGTTTGGTTTGGTGTCAGTGTTGAAGCTGAGGAATGCCCAGGTTTGTGAAGTTGCGGTCTGGGTTTGGCGTCTGCTAATCATAGAAGCCAAGGTAAGTGTTCTATTGCCCCTTGAATGACCGAATAACTACATGGCGCATTTCGCTACGCAAATCATTCAGCAAAGCCCCCTCAGTCATCAGAATGAACTGAATGTTCGGCGAAGACTCTTATGAAGAGGATTCCATGGAAAGGAAATATCAACACGCACATGCAATAGCTTTGTAGTATTCCCGTTGCAGCTGAGTGCACTTATGCTGCTATTCTTAGTTGGGACTCTGTTCGGCTTTCACTGGCGTGGTGGCATGGACGGCCTTTGTAGTCGAACATATTTCTCAATTCACGAACAATGATTATGTTGTCCGTCGCCACGTGTGTATGTTTGCTTCATTCTTCTCTGGCGGTATGTCTTTGAACTGATCATTTATCCCACAACAGTACACTGCCTCGATATTCTTCGCCGAAGCTCATGTGCACTGTGGACAGTGGAGTGTTGGGCTAAAATCTGGATTTACCCTACGGAGCCCTATGTTGACTTCAACACTCAGCACCCGTGCAACAACTTTGAAGCCATTCGTCGCTGGGCCGAAGAGAACAAGCTGCCTCAGGACCTCCCAGCGGACTTTCTGCAGCTACCGAATCTATAGCGAAATGTCATGAGAAATAGCAATCAGGAGTTGAGCTAAAGACTTAGCCGAGAACTACCATGGCATGGATTCGTATATGAGTTACTCGAAAAGAACGAGAGTATCGCGATGCATGATAATATCCCATAGAACAATAACTCCCTCGATTCAGTCAAGATTGTAAACACTCAAGTCATCACTCATTCCAGGCAAAACATACACAGCACTATCCTCTCCACCAAAAACCTTCAAAGGCTTCACCCCCCCTAAATTCCATCCCAATCTTCTCCAAAGCTCCCCGACTCCGTCGATTCGCAGGCGAGCAGAATCCAAACACAGCATCCACGCCAAGATTCTTATTTGCATACTCTAAAAGAGCCTTTGCAGCCTCGGTCGCATACCCCTTCCTACATTCTTCAGGCAACATGGCAAACCCAATATCTGGGGCAAGATAATGTGGGCCTGGTGGAATGCCCCTTGTGAGCGATACAGTGCCGATCGGCTTCGCGCCGTCGTCGGTCTGTCTTGAGACTAGGAACATGCCGTAGCCATGGTAGGCGTAGTGTTCGGAGACTCTGCCTGTAAGGAACGAAGATGCCTTTTCCGGTGTGGTGATTCCGGTTTTCCCGCACGAGCTGATGAAATCGTCTGTATTCCACAGCTGGACTAAGAAAGCGCAATGGGTTGGGTTGGTGGGGTTGAAAGGGCTGATTTGGAGACGTGGAGTGGGAATTGTGAAGTTTGATGGGAAGGAGAATCCCGGCATTTTGGTTTGTTAGTTTGAGGATACCAGAGGTCACTCTAGAGTGAGAGAGTATACTAGTTCCAAGTTTTGGGTATATTCTTCTCTTTTATATCTTCGTGAGATACCAGATACCACGATAAGATTGTCAGTGACTCACAGTGCGAAGGCTGGATTCCAAGGAAGCTTAGCGCTGACAGGGGTTGATAGCCTAGGCACTCTTAGGTGGTTAGGCACATACAGTGCAGATAACTCATATACTCCAGTAAGAAGGTAAAATCGTGTTCAATTGATTATATTCTCTTATTGTCCCATCTTCATACCACCGTTGGCACATACCACACTGCCAGTACACCAAAGACCATCAGGTGTACACAACATGCCAACAACACCAGCAACCTCACTAGTGAAAGCTGGTCGACGGCCACCCATCTTCTCCTGAATTAACCGCTTCTGCTCATCAGTCAAGCGGCTCATAGTGTCCTCATTATTGACATCCAACTTGCTCAGAGGCGTGTTATCCTGGTATCCTTGGATATCCTTCCAGAACTGCTCTCCGGTGGCGAAGTACATATCACCAACAACCGGGCCGGGGTTAACGGCATTAACAGTCGCACGGTCTGACAGCTCACGTGCCCAGGTGCGAGTCATCGCCTCAATGGCAGCCTTGGTACCGCCGTAGATCGACTGGCCGACGAAACCGAGCGACGAGGATACACTGGAGATGCTCACGATGCGGCCGCTTCGGTCGGTTGGGAGGAAGGGAGCGCATGCCTGTGTGAGGAGAAGCGGGGCGAGGACATTGATGGAGTATTGCCAGTTGAAGTGCTCGGCCTCAATGGGGCCCTTGTTGGCGTCGTTCAAGTTCCGGTCTTGGGATACGCCGGCATTATTGATCAAAATGTCGATCTGGAATTTTCCGGACGTGCTGAAATGTTCTTTTGCGGCAGTGATGATTGCCGTCACAGCTTCGGCGGGCTTGCTCAGATCGGCCTGCACGCTCTCGCATTTGATGTTATGGGTTGTGGCTAAGGAGGAGCACAGTGCTTCGGTGGGGGCGCGCGAGGACTCTGAAGTGAAGTTCAGAAGCAGCGAGCAGCCTTTTTCGGCAAGATTACGGGCAATTGCTTCGCCAATTCCTATGTAGATGGCGCATTAGCGTGTTCTCTTGGTATGCGGGGGATACTAGGCTTTACCCCGCGATCCGCCAGTGACGATGCCGAATTTCCCTTCAAGTACACGAGTCATTTTGGATGTTAATGAAATAGTTGGAGAATTAAAGAAGATAATATTAATTGAGGAAGGAAATGCCCACCTCTTTAAGCTGTCTCTTCTTAATTAGCCGAGAGTTGATCCCCCGGAATAAAATTGCCCGTTGGAGTGTGGCGGAGGAAATGCGGGCATGCGGGTAAATTCCACATTCGGCCCGAATTGACTTCAGCCGGAATCTGGTTTGTTCTGTTGGCATGTTTTGCATTGTCTGCACTGTTTGCTGGGTTGGCAGGTTTTGTGTGGTTTGCATGATCTGCTAATCCTTTCTCCTTCCCTATTCTTTCGTTGAACACTAGAGTTGTAATACTCGTGCTCATTATCATCAAGCAGTGTGGTGAGACCTCTAGACTTCTATATTCATATCACAAGTGTCAGCTTCCCATTGTTTGGATATCCTAAATTTCACGACAATCTATGGTCCCAACTATGCACCCCTCGAAAGCACCGCAACCGAGTGTAATTCTGTGTTCAGTTTCCCAATATTGCTCCATATCTAATGATGGTCTTTACTAGGAGCTTATATATTTTCAAGGTTCTCATGGCAAATTCAGCTCAGGTCACCAATTAGAACAACTATTTCAGCTATCCACGGCTTCTTAATCATAAATCTACACATTATTCTCGTATCTGGTGCCCAGGTGGCATGATGATCATATACCGTAATAGGCAGCATGGTGCGCCGGACATATATGCACCTTATCCTTGCTAATAAATCCACACTCCAGAACATACGAGTCTCATGCTTAACCACTTGCATAACAAACCTGTTTCTCCGTACATCTCACGTTGCCCCACCATCCGATTGGCATCTGAAGCACTGACAGGACAACTGGCCCATGTAATCCTATACCACGCGAGTCCCAATCAAGATGATGTTCAGAACTATCGGATACAAGCATAAGTATATTGATACCGGGCTGTGCATTGGGGGCCTTGACTTGGCGTGGCCCGTGTATCCAATGTGCCCAACATGATGTACGTAACACCTCTCCAGAGTTATCTGTGGTGAGCAAGAAAATTGACCAGACATCGACAGATATAGAGGTGCTTAGGTGATGTCACCGCTATTTTCCTCGGGGATGTCAATCTTCCACCACGAACGCCAAGCGCAAGCGCACCAAATTACCATGAACATACCAACTGTCGCTGATCTGGGGCCAAGTTAGCTCAGCCTTTCGTATCATAGTCCACGATCGACCTTTCAGCGTCAAGGATAGTGGGATGGCGCCCTACCCAACCGTTTATGGACAATATATTGGCTTGGCCTACATGCCTCTTGGATATGTCAAACTCCGTCATTCGGACTGCAGCCGCAATTGGTATCAATATATAAGATACAGGACAGCGACTGTTCGACTTAGGACAGAATCACTTCAATATTCCAAGACGCAAAGCTCCTCGTGTTTACCAGAATCCTAAATCTTCACAATGCTTCTTGGCAAAACATTGCTTGGATCCATATTGGGATTCGCTGTTAGCTCAACAGCGCGAATCATCGCCACAGATGAAGTCCCCTTGCTCGGTCCATCCTTCCTCTCCAACTTTGATCCCTCTAATTCAACCGCGATCAGCCACGCCAGATCGGAGTTCCCTGGCTTGATCGATAACCTCTTCTCGGCTGGCGCTCTTAACCGCACGGATTTGGCCTTTCACATTGACGTGTTTTCGGCTGCTACCAATAAATCCATCTACAGCTACTCGCACGTCGGAGAGAACTCCAAAAAGTCTGTTACATCTGGAGAATTCAATGACAAGACGATCTCACGCCTTGGAAGCGTGACAAAACTCTTCACTGTCTACGCAATCATCGCCAAGGCCGGTATAGAAGTATTCAGCCACCCGGTGACGAAGTACCTCCCCGAACTGGCGGGTAATCCAGCCAATGACCCATTGGAGAGCATACGCTGGGAGGATATCACAGTCGGAGCACTGGCATCTCAGCAAGCTGGCTCTGGAGGTGCCGCTGGTTTGTGCTCTTATAAAATACCAGATCGCTGGTGCTGACTTTTCGCTAGACTTCCTCATAGACTACGCGGACCCCGAGAGGCCATCTCAATACTCAGCCGAAGGTGATTAACTTAATCCATTCTATCAGTTAGGAAGCCGCTCATACATGTCATACGCAGATCTTTTGAGATTCTTCCGCGACGAGAAAAAGCCGGTGATTTCTCCATTCCGAAATGCTGTCTATTCTGATGGCGGCTTTGCGATCCTAGGGCAGGTACTTGCGCGCCTGTCGGGGAAGACTTATAGCGAAGCTGTCCAAGAGGTTCTCTTCGACCCACTGGGCCTGGAGTCCATGTCGACGAAAGTGCCAACAGGTCCTGATCTTAACGTTATCGATCGCCGCACCATTGACAAGAACACATCATGGGGTGGTGACATAGAAATTGTTGCATCGTATGTTGCATTTTCTTTTTTCATTCTTTCCGTTTCTTTTCGTGCTATTCCATAATCCGAACCAGAGTCCCACACTAACCTACCACGCAGAACTGGCAGTTACTATTCCAACACTGCAGACCTTCGCACCGCAGGTCTTGCCATCTTAAACTCCGAGCTACTTTCCCCCGCCACAACATCGCAATGGATGAAACCCACCATTGGAACTGGCAGTCTGGTCGAGCTCGTCGGTGCCCCATGGGAAATTTCTCGCCTAGAGATCCCCGTTACCCCAGGCTCAAACCGCACTCGGATCTCAGATCTTTACACCAAGGCCGGCGGAAACGTCGATTACACAGCCATTTTTGCGCTGTCCCCGGACCACGGCATCGGCTACTCCATCCTGGTAGCCGGTTTCACTGCGACGCCCGCCCGCTGGCCCCTACGCGACGTGGTTGGCGAGACGTTCATCCCCGCAGCTGAGCACGCCGCTGCAGAGAATGCCAAGCGAAACCTGGCCGGCACGTTCGTCGACCAGGCGTCGCCGGATACGAACCTGACGCTGTCTGTTGATCGAGGCCGCCCCGGGCTCGGGCTGAAATCGTTCTGGCTTAATGGTACCAACGCCCGCGATCATGCGCATTGGCGTCTCTACCCGACTGGTCTTAACTCGTTCTCGAAGTCGTTGTCTTCCTTGTACAAGGCCAAGGGTAATCTTCGTGTGGCGCACCGGATGGTGCAGCCGCAGCCCCCGATGAAGCCTCGTGCTGCTGTGGAAGGTGGGAAGGGAGGGTTGTTTGATAACTCGTTTGTGTGGATGAACCTTGACTTTGCGGGGCCCTCTGACGAGTTTATTCTCAACCTGGTTGATGGACGACTTGTCAGTGTTGAGTATCCGACTACCGGTTCCGTTCTCAAGCGAGTTTGAGTGCAAGAGCTGGATCGGTCCCATTGGTAGGGTGGTAGATGGTTGGCTTTTTTAGCCTAGTTGATAGTGACCTGTTTGCTTTTAATAGAACATGAGTTGTATCCCATCTTTTTCCGCCAGTCTCATATTGCAGTCAACTATTGAACCTGGTGATAGAATCCAGATATTGCTTCAGCCACATTCGAGTGATTTACAAGTCCCCAATGCTGTATACAACAGTACAGATGAGGGTTGTGAGGCGGTGAAGGAGGTTGTCGTGATGGTCGCTAAAATGGCGTTTAGTAGAAAGGTAGAACCCTCTTCCTTCCGTATTTCTGTCTCTTTCAGTTTGTCAATAGTGATTTTGCAATTCTCAAATAATGTCGCGCTTCACTGTACCACCGGGCGACCAGAGTGTCCAGGTTCGAATCATCGATTCTACTACTCGGATTGACAACTTCCAACTGGGGTTTCTCATGGAACCTCCAATGGACGGAATGGAATATATGTCTCCGCTTCCCTCCTGGTCATTCCTGATCGAGCATCATTCTGGCCAAAAGCTTCTTTATGATCTTGGAACTCGGAAAGATTTGAACTCGTTTGCGCCGACAGTCTGTGAACATCTCGAAGCGCAGGGATGGAAAGTCAATGTCAAGGAAGAGGTAATCGATACTCTCGACAAAAATGGGATTGCAGCAACCGAAATTTCCGCTATCATTTGGAGGTAAGGTTTATTGGATACATTCATGAATATCGTGAGGTGCTGACGTTCATATTCGTGGCAAGCCATTGGCATTGGGATCATATTGGTGACCCGTCGCGATTTCCCTCCTCCACTGAAATCATTGTCGGCCCTGGTTTCAAGGCCGAGTTCATTCCTGGCTATCCAGCAAAACCTGATGCTCCTATACGCGAAAGTGACTTTGCGTAAGTCTCTGATTTCGCCGCGAGAGTTTACTGTCAGATATTGTAAATTCTAACCCTCCCTCGAAAGTGGACGAAATCTACGTGAAATAGACTTCTCGAACTCTGTCCAAGTTGGCCAGTTCCGAGCTGTTGATTTCTTTGGCGACGGTTCGTTCTATATCATAGACAGTCCTGGTCATGCAGTCGGTCACCTTGGTGCATTAGCACGTACCACGACTAAACCGGACACATTCATTTTCATGGGAGGTGACCTCTGCCATCACAGTGGGGAAATTAGGCCGTCAAAGCACCTCCCCATTCCTCGTGATATTAAACCGAGCTTCGCTACTCCAATCCCACTTCTATGTCCTGGTGACTCGGTATACGAGCAATTACTAGTCCGACGGGCTGGATCGGCGGACAAGCCATTCTTCCGGCCAGCTATGGGCTTAGATATTGAACAGGCGATAGAGACAATTGAGAAAGCACAGGTGGCTGATGCAGATAACAATATCTGGTTTATATATGCTCACGATCGCAGCCTGTTAGAATGCGTGGATTTGTTTCCTTTGCCGGCCAATGCTTGGAAAGAAAAGAATTGGCGGGAGAAAACCCTGTGGACTTTCCTTGGAGAGTTTGAAACGGCGATCAAGCAGATTTGAATGTCATAATTGGACATGTTGATCATCCTTTTGCTTCTCTATCAGCTTGTACTGCATTCCTGCTTGATTAAACAAGCTTCATTGAAGATGTGCCCCTAGTTTATAGTAAGCTGAGTAGCTCCCATTACTCGCATTCAGGTACGTCCTATTAGATCAGCTACCTAGGCCTACCGTAGGGTGGCTAGTGGCTCGTACATTAGGTGCTATGATTAACAGCCCCTTTAATCTTAAGTTACATCCTGTCTACCTCTAGGTCGTCCTCGCGTTGAACTCTACTTCTAATAAAATAAGTCTATAGTTGCAACAAATCAAGCAAACGTGCGCTCTTACCAACCAACAGTGTGATATTTCTGCGGAGCGTAAAAGCTGAAAGCTATTTCAGGTCATAGGGTAGATTCGTGGCGGAGTAGGCTCATCTACGGTGCTTCTGCAGGGGCGAGCACCAACAGCGCTAGACTTATGAGGCTCATTGGCAGGCAATCGACATGAGACAAGCCAAATGCAGAATCAATACATGGATGCTTGTAAGGTGAATCGACCGAGCCTCCCAAACATCCCAATTAAAGTCGGACCAACTGCCTCCAGAGGTCTGTGCTGTCTTTTAGGGAATATAACAGGACAAAGCAAACCACTTATGAATCCGTTGGTTAGCGGCAGCTCGACTGATTTGGGCCCTTCAGCGCGTAGGGCTGTGGTCCGTGAGGCTTGGTCTCCCAAGAAGCCTGGTGATCACTGCCTGCATAATTAGTGGTATCGTTTTCGCCCGGGGTCGACGCCAGGCGCTTCCATTAAGGGGCTCGTGGCCAAGGGTTCCCGTGCACATTGCTACGCTGTCAAGTGAATCCGCATTTACCGCGTTATCAGTTCAGCCGCAAATTGGAAGCCACACCCATCTTACTGGCTCTGGTTTTCCGAGTTTCACTTACTGCCTATCTCCAACTAATACACAATACTACCTGGAATGTCCACAATACTGTTCCCTCGACTTTGTATTCTGGCTCTTTGGTATCAGAGAATTACCCCCGAGGGAGCGCACTTCGGGGTCGAATGGTGACTGTACATAGAAAATAGAGATTTCTTCAAACTCAATAGAATAATTGATTCCTATGACATGTAACGCATTCAAATAACTCGCTATAGATCAGACCCTTCACATAATTTCCAGTCAATTGGAGCTCTTAGTCTGATTCTGTATGCGCTTGCTTCTACGTCTCCCAGTATCTTGAGTTCCTTGATCAGGCACATCCACCTGGTTGGTAGAATTATCCACTGCACGTCTGGAGCTTGATGCCTCCGGCTTGACAGTTTTGGAAACCTTTCGTTTTGTTCTCTTCGTTTCAACAGGAGCGGCAGCCCTTTTCCTCTTACTGGTTCCCTGGCCACCCACTGGAGCGGGACCATCTGCTTGAGCAGGCAAAAGATCCTGGGGAGCGGCGGCCCTTTTCCTCTTCCTGGTTCCCTGGCCACCTTTTGGAGCGGGACCATCTGCTTGAGCAGGGAAAAGATCCTGGAAAAGATTGAAGGTAACATGCGCTTTGGGCTTCATCGGACTCGGCATCGAATCACAGTCATTATCAGGAATCTGCAAAGGGCTTTCATGCTTCCAAGCCATCCCAGGTAATATGCCCCATTCCTCGTTCCAAATGCCTCTTTTGGCCCAGATACTTTTCACGCGCTCATAAGCGTTGGAGTTGATATTTGCGAAGGCAGCAGGCTCAGAGTCATCAAATAAGGATGGACGAGCATAGAGATTTCGGACTCGTTCGCGCTCCTTTGATATTTGATAGATGAATTGATGAAATGGGCGCGATGGCTCGTCCCCGGTCTTCTGTTTGGGTTGTCGCTCACCGCCCTGTTGTACATTTTTGCCGGTGTCAGTCGGCAAGGCACTTTCAAGGGAAGCGAACAAGCCGATATGGGTTCTTCCACCAGGGTACGTCTCGGGCTCAGGAGTAATCTCAGGAGACAGTTCGTGCATCCACTGCTCTGAAGGCATGTTCACCCATTCGTCATTCCAAATTCCTTGTTCAATCCAGTTGTTCTTCACTGTCTCATAGGCGAGATTGTTCATGTTTGTCCCGTCGGGGACATCCTGATTTTCTTTTCTCGATTCCTTCAATTATGCGGGCTTCCAATTCCAGCACCTGGGCATCGAATTGCTGGTTGGGCCTTGAGGCATCGTGGGCCTTTATCAGTTCCCATTTTTGAAGATCACGGCGTTCTTGCCTCTCCCGTTGCTGCCTCATGGTAGGGCTTTCGGGGCTCATGGATGCTGTTGAATTGTGCGACTGGTGAGATATGTACGATACGTCTCTGTCGAAGCGTGACCGGTCACTGTCGAGTCGCCGCGGGTTTTTAACGAGGTTGTCGAGCGCAGTGTGGATATTAGATAGGCCAGATCTAATGCTGTCCGCCATGCTGGGAGGATTGGAGGAATAAAAGAAGGAAATCAAAAGAATGAGGGGGTGAAATAAGAGATTGGAGATGTGACAGAATCCCCGGGGTGCCAGTGTGACGTGAGCGCTAAGCTGCAGCAACTAGCGCGGGCATTGGCCCCTTCACTCGACATTCCCTTAAACAATCAGATTCAATAAATAACCGCCCAACGTCCAACGCCTCATTGCTATATTTATGTATGCATTTTAATCTAATTCTGTTCTCTGAAACGATCTTTGAAACAAACAAGCCCCAAGGTTGCCGGGGTGTAGCGGTTAAGATCACTTCGTACTCGATGCCAAATAACTACATAATGTCTTCGGAATTTCTCCTGGATGTCTCCTCTCCGGTTGATAACTGTCTGTTATTTGACCTTCTTTCGACATGTCAATGTATCCACCCCGCCGTCCTGTTCCTCTCTTCTCCCTCAAGCCTCTGAATGAAGGAGCCAAAAAGGTCGCCGAGCATGCTTTCAACCAACATCTTGCTTCGAAGTTGAGCGATGGCACAACTGTCCTAGACATTGGCTTCCATATACGCTCACGCTCTCATAACACAATTGCAACACTAGGGCGTGGGGATACGGATATCTTTGTAGATGGCTCAAACATCTCCAAGATCCAATGCTCTTTCGAAATCGAGCCAACCACCAATTTGGTCATGCTTTACGACAGGTCTCATAGTCAGTCAACACAGGTCTTTGGCTCAAATGCCACGCCATTTGAGCATGGGCGCCTTCGCCAAGTTGTCGTTCAGCATCTGCTGAACGATGTTCTGGGGATGGGCGGCATAGGGAAAAATGCTGTTCAATTCCAGTTGATGTGGAAGCAAAATCCTTCTCAGACGACGGAGATTGTAAGAAATCGAGAGGGGGTAACAAATTACTACGACGAGAATCCCCGGCTGGCTCGGACGACCGATGATCTGGAAACGGTTCCACCGTCTCAAATGCAGACTAGAATCCACACTCCAGGGCCTCGACAGCTGACAATGAGATACCTGAAGGTTGACCGACTTGGGGCTGGACAGTTTGGAGTTGTATACAAGGCTCTCAATGTCGACACGGGCAAGTTTCTCGCTGTCAAGATAATCCAACGACCTGAGGAAGCTTCAGCACAGGCAGCGTGGGAGGAGTCAAAATACTATGCATTGAAACGCGAGGTGGAGAATTTGTCCCGCATTAGCCACGTTAGTAACACTTCCCGCTCTCATAAACTGAACTGACGCTGCCCTAGCCACATATCGTTGATTTCATCACCTCCCAGGGCTGGGAAGGACCAACTGCGGAGATATTCATGGGCCTCAAGGACGGCACACTTGAATCTTTGGTCAAAGGTGGAGTTCCGGATGTACAGGAAATCGCCGAACGTGCCTGCTACCAAATGCTTCAGGCGTTAGACTGCCTGGCTGAGCATGGCATCGTTCATCGAGATGTCAAGCCAGAGAACGTTCTTTATACTGTACTACCGGGGATGCAGTATCACTTTCAGCTTGGCGATTTCGGTCTATCCAATCACACTATTGATGCTAAGAGCTCTGTCGGGACCCCATTGTACATGGCCCCCGAGGTTCATGACCATGGAGTCCAGACACACAAGATGGATGTCTGGTCCCTTTTTGTAACAATCGCATGGGTACTAGACTTTGATGGATTCCGCCAAAGATTACACCATGTCACGTCCCTCCCGCAGGCCCGCGAAGCCATCCTCGCTATGGCATCAAGGATCGAAGAGATGCGAGAAATGGTAAGAGTCAATCCTGACGAACGGGCCTCCGCGGCACAGATGCTGGTCAAGCTCTTCCACGGAGAAGGCCTTACAACTCAACGGAGTCGCATTCCACCACTCACTCCAACAAAGGTGGAAACCAGACCCGAGCCACAGTCACACCCAGGGCCCATGCGTCAGGTCAGATATCAACCAGCCCAGGGTATGCCGAAGTTTCCAAAACCACACGCGAATCAGTTCCGTGTCCGTAAGTCGAATCATCCGCAGCCTCGAATATGGGAGCCAAACACCATAGCTGCTAGGCCTCGAGGAAATCCTCCTCCCACAAGGAGGCGTCGTCCTCCTTCCAATGTTGAATATCCTAGCTTCTTACAAGGGTTTCGTGCGTGGGCGCCACCTAGGGACTAGAGTATGCGGCATTGTGTAGGGTTTTAACACCTGAACCCAGGGTTGTCAGTCTACACGAACTATCACGAATCCTTTCTTTTCTTTGTTGAATACTTTCTCGCTGGTACTTAGTTTGCTTTTGGTCACTTCATCTACTCGCCGTTATAGTCACTTATGCAATGTACTTTGTCTCTTCTTGTTCGTTCTATCATAGTAGATTCTCAAAGGCCTTCCACCAGAACAGAATCGAATGTATCTGAATTACCTCAACTTGAACTCCGAACTCTGTATAGTAGAGCGATATGGCCCCACATGGATATAGAAGACATCGGCACGTGGAATCGACCGCCAAGAACCTCCTTCGGGAGCTAATTTGTTGACATCCATCTTACGACTCTCGAGCCTGCTCCTAAAACCGTCGAATTATTTAGTTCTCTCTTATACAGCCAAAGGTTCATGTGCGATGGAGAGGTATATGACTAATGCAATAGTAACCCAAATCAAGGCCACTCGATCTGCTAGATTGTAGGCCATGCATACATGTATGTATAATTGTGAGAGAATCGGTCCAATCGGCAGCACCGGAGAGCACATTTGAAAGTACATAATGTAAATTAGCACCTGCATGGATATACGAGGTATCCCTATATAACTATCACAAAGTCCAAAACCTGTTCTTCCCCGCCACCTCCACTTCCAATTTCTATTTCAACTTCAATTCAACTCCATCTTCCCTTTATTCAATTCTACCCAAGAAAAAAAATAAAAATGCCTCCAAACACCCCCACAATCCTCCTCCTAGGAACATGCGATACCAAACTCTCCGAACTCCTCTACACAAAATCCCAAATCGAATCCACCAACGCCACAGTCCTCCTAATGGACACAGGCCGGAACCCAACCACCCACGAAGAAATCGCCATTCCCCAAAGCGCCCTACTCACCTCAATCCCAACCCCAGATCTAACAACCCTCACCCGAACCGAGTACATAACCACACTCACACCCTACGCAACCAAAAAAGTAACCCACCTCCACGAACACCACCAAATCCACGGCATCCTCGCCATCGGCGGCTCATGCGGGACAACACTCGCCGCAACAGTCATGCGCGACGCGCTCCCAGTGGGGTTCCCCAAACTACTCGTCTCGACAATGGCATCGGGAGACGTGGGACCGTTCATCGGCGAAACGGACATTAGTATGATGTACAGCGTTGTTGATATCGCGGGGCGGAACTGTATTGTCGAGGGTGTTCTGGACAATGCTGCTGGCGGGATTGTCGGGATGGCTGGAGCGTTTTTGAAACGGGAGCGGGGTAGCCCGGCCGAGATGGAGGTGTCATCCCGTGTGAGGATTGGTATTTCCATGTTTGGGGTTACGACTCCTGGTGTTACGCGCGCGCGGGAACGGCTTGAGGAGGTCTTGGGTGGTTGTGAGGTTTATGTTTTTCATGCTACGGGGTCTGGGGGGAGGGCTTTGGAGAGGCTTGTGAGGGAGGGGCGGATTGATGCGGTGCTGGATTTGACGACTACGGAGGTTGCGGATGAGGTTGTTGGTGGGGTTCTTAGTGCTGGGTCGGGACGGTTGACGGCGGCTACGGTGCGGGATATTCCGAGGGTGGTTAGTGTTGGGGCGTGTGATATGGTTAATTTTGGGGAGATGGGGACTGTTTCTGCTACGTTCCGCGAGGGGAAGAGGTTGTTTTATGAACATAATGCGACCGTTACGCTTATGAGGACTACTAAGAAGGAGTGTGTGGAGATTGGGATGTTTATAGCAGGGAACTTGTTGGATTCGAGGGATAGGGGGCAATTGAGACAGACGAAGGTGATCTTGCCTGTTGGTGGGGTGAGCATGTTGGATGTTGCTGGCCAGCCATTCCACGATCCCGAGGCAGATGAGGCATTGTTTTCCACTCTGGAGAGGGAATTGGAGAGCAGTGGGATATCTGTCGTGCGAGATTCGCGTGACATCAATGATCCCGACTTTGCAGTGGCGGTAGCCGATGAACTGGTCAAATTAATCCGCAGAGAATAGACCTACGACGATATGAACAAAAGCCGGTCATCTACAGGAGCAACTACGCAAGGAATAAATGTTGACGTATAGCTTCGATTGAAGTTCTACATCGTCACAATCGGCCCATGGAGGCCCACACACCAGAATAAGGTATCAAGAATAAAATCCCATCACGCAGTGTTGAATGCAAGACCATCCCAGGTCATCCCACGCCAAAACAAAAACATTAGAAACACACCCCGGTGCAGGCCACTTTTTATGCCGTTGAAGGACAACCACTTTTGAGTTCCTAAGTTGATGGAGAACTCGAAATGCCAATCATAACATCGTCGAATCATGTTGAAAGTCTATTTCCTAAGATTATCATCGAACACAGTTGAAAATGTAAAGAAATTAGTAACGGTAGATCTCGGGCTTGAAGGGACCGTTGACAGGCAAGCTGAGGTACTCGGCCTGGACGGGGGTCAGCTCGGTAAGCTTGGCGTTGACGTGGTCCAAGTGGCAGCGAGCGACCTGCTCGTCGAGCTGCTTGGGCAGAACGTAGACACCGACGGGCTTGCGGCCACCGGCACCGAACTCGATGTACTTCTTGCCGAAGGCTTCATCCTCAGCCTTGAAGAGGGCAATCTGAGCCAGGACCTGGTTGGAGAAAGAGCAGGACATGACGAAGGAAGAGTGGCCGGTAGCGCAGCCAAGGTTGACAAGACGGCCCTCAGCGAGGAGGATGATGTTCTTGCCGTTGAGGTTGTAACGGTCAACCTGGGGCTTGATGTTCTGAACGGACTGGGAGTTGGCCTTCAACCAGGCGACGTCAATCTCAATATCGAAGTGACCGATGTCTAGAAGATCGTTAGTATTAATGATCAAACCAAATAGTCTGATTCGAAGAAAACTTACTGCAGACAATGGCGTCGTTGCGCATGGCCTCGAAGTGACGGCCAACAAGGATGTCACGGCAACCAGTGGTGGTGACGAAGATCTGACCGATAGGGGCAGCGGCCTCCATGGTGTTAACCTCGTAACCCTGGACGGCAGCCTGGAGGGCGTTGATGGGGTCGACCTCAGTGACAATGACACGGGCACCCATGGAGTGGAGAGCCTGGGCACAACCCTTACCGACATCACCGTAACCGGCGACGACAGCGACCTTACCAGCGATCATGACATCGGTGGCACGCTTGATACCATCGATAAGGGATTCACGGCAACCGTAGAGGTTGTCGAACTTGGACTTAGTGACACAGTCGTTGACGTTGATGGCGGGAACCTTGAGGGTGTTCTCCTTCATCATCTTGTACAGGTGGTGGACACCAGTGGTGGTCTCCTCGGAGACACCGAAGCAGTCATCGAGCATCTCGGGGTACTTGGTGTGGACGAGGGAGGTGAGGTCACCACCGTCGTCAAGGATGAGGTTGAGCTTCTTGCCATCCTTGAAGGCCTGGAGCTGCTGGTCCAAGCACCACTGGTACTCCTCCTCGGTCTCACCCTTCCAGGCGAAGCTGTAGGAAACAATTGGTCAGACGAAGCCCTCGAAAGGTTTCGGAAAGGGTTATCGAAACTTACACAGGGACACCGGCGGCGGCAATGGCGGCGGCGGCGTGATCCTGGGTGGAGAAGATGTTGCAAGAGGTCCAGGTGACCTCGGCACCGAGGTGAGTGAGGGTCTCGATGAGGACGGCGGTCTGGATGGCTGAAGGAGCGGTCAGCACAAGCTTTGTCTTTTGTGATAGACCAACATACTCATGTGAAGACAACCGGCGATACGGGCACCCTTGAGGGGCTGGTCGGCACCGTACTTCTCACGGATGGCCATGAGACCGGGCATCTCAACCTCGGAGAGCTCGATCTCGCGGCGACCGAAAGCGGCCAGGGACTAGGGAATTGTCAATGGTTGAAGGAGGAGAATAGGTGGTTGAGATAGACATACGAGGTCAGCGACCTTGAACTTCTGTGCGGGGGCAGCCATTATGTAAAATATGTATTCAAACTGCTGATTGTTAGTGAGAAATATCAAAAGTGATGTAGGAATTGACTGACCGAAGGGTGTATGAAGGAGAAAGGAAGAAGGAAGAGGAAAGAGGGAAAAGGAGAATAGAGGGGAAGGAAAACTCTCGGCTTTGTGAGGGATCGCCAAGGTCCCTGAACGTGGCAAGTACCGGTTACCGCCTCATAGTACAGTTTTAATGTGTACGGTCAGGTACCGGTACTTCTCAACACTTCTTCGGCCTTCGTGGTGGGCTGACTGATGGCGGGGTCTTGCAGGTGCTTAGTCATGATAAGCAGCCACCACCCAGCAGGAGCTATTACAGTAATGTGACGAAGTTATATAGCCAAGTGCCTCATCTACGATAATTTATGTAGATAGTGAATCCAGTATCTTCATATCACCCTTCTTATATCACAAGTTGTGAAGTTCTAGGTTGAAGTACATCAATTCAAGTCTCAAAACCGTCATTGAAATACGTGGACAAATACTCCGTACGAGTTAACCTAACACGGACTAGTGCGTTTGTGGTGGGGCTTCGTGAAACGATCCCGGAACCTCCCAAAGTCCCACGGGTTGGAAAAAGTATGGATTTACATAATCACTATAAACCTTCCAGGACTTCCAAGATTGGAAGGGCTTTGACAGATAATTAACAAAGCATGTGTATGGTAAATGGATGACCCATTCTGCCTGCCGTTTTAATTCGACTACCATGAATTTGGAAGCATAAGAGGCTAGTTCTGTTTGGCATGAACCCTCGTCTATAAATAAACTTTGTAAATGAACACCTATGTAAGCTTGCTTCTATGCACTATATGTAAATTCTATAGCTTGCTATGTGGTTTATGCTCCCAGATCCTATTTCCCCTACATAACAGTATGTCCAAATCAATTCGTCCGCGCAAAGCGCAGCAAGGCAACCGGCGAGTCGCGGCAAGCACCCTCTGTCCCTCTCATAACCAGTGATAGTCGAGATCAGCTGATATGTTCCAACTTTGGTACATAGTCGTCATTGAGGGGCTTCGTCAGTGCGTCGTTCTTGGAAACTTCTCGCAGCCTGTCTAGCTCGGCGAACCCAAGAAGCAGTAGACCGGCGAGGACATGTTTTTCGAGCGTAACCATAGTTGACTTGGTTTCGGATCTTTTTCATGAGGTTAGGACATGTTTAAAGAAGAGCGGATTGCCATATCTTACCGCTGCAGGATCCTTGATCTATGTGTTACCCACTCATTCAATTTTGCGACGTAGGCCATCGCAAGCATGAAGACTAGGGATGCCCCGCGAACGCGGCTTTCATGAATACTCAGAACAGCTGCCAGTGGAATAGAGAGCGAGTAGATTGTGCTGTACGAGTATCCCCGTAGATATGGCGTGTAGGTGAAGAAAAAAATCGCCATTCGGGCATAAACGAAGCTGTCGAGCGCAGATATAGATATTCTGTGTAGGCTGGGCAATTGGAGTATGTACGATGCGATGCAGATGGCCGGGCGCAAAACTGCACCAGCCTGATAAGGCGGCCGAGTTGTAAGTGGATCGCCGCGACGGAGCGTCTTCACAAGAACCAAACTGGCCCAAGACCAGATGAGACAAGATAGCACGTCTATTACCTCAGGGAGGACATCGTCATTGCCAAGTCCAGCTTTCGAGATGTGGTAGCGAGCCAATTCCATGATTCCAGTACCAATATGTATGAAGAGAAAGGCTTTGTGCTTGGAGAATGTCGTGCTATAAATTCGAACCTGCCGTCGAGTATGATAGAGCATGATGGCTACATATGGAAAGCAATGGCCGATCAACGGTACGATATCGGATTCGCGGGACATGGTGAGGGTTTCTGTATCAATTATTGGAATACTCTTGTATATTGATAGCTTGAGATGAAATTGGGGTTTAAAATAAAGCACTGGATAGCTGGAATTTTATATTTTCAGTAGTCTTCTCGATGTATCAACAGGTGGCTCCCTGTTTTGGGGTGCATCTATGCAGATCATCACTCTGTATAACGTCGTGATACAATGTGTGACTTGCAGTCTGCGTGGTTATTGAGTTGATACAATATGAGTGTCTAGGAGCAACCATAAGAGTGTTACACGATGTGAGTCTTGGAATCACTACATGAACTAAAGCGGGTTGTTATTATTAAACTTTGAAAGCCCGTCTGTGGGTGTACACCATGTCCAATCTCTCACTGAACATCTAGTTAATCATTTTACTAACTACACTCTACCCAAGAACATTGCGTTATTTTTGCTTCTTCTGAGCACAAGTGTAAAACTTACTCTCCGGACACCCACGTCCAATTGACTCATATAACTAAGAGTCGTGGAGTCGTGCTAACTTTGCTAACCCTGCTAGTATAAAATCATCCTGCACACTAGTAAGTGTAGGATGATACAGAGTTTACGAAGAATAGTCCTTATCGTGTGCATAGCGTTACTATACTACGGTAGCCAACAGCCTTGAAGAAAAATGGATGGTGACAAAATAGACTTCGATGGTAATTGTGTCGGTCAAGTAACTATCTCCTCAGATCTTACTTGCCGGGTCATTTCCTTGCTTTGCACGTGCGAGTCTCTCATGGCTTTGGGTGAAAGTGTTGGTTGCCGCGGCCGCTGCAGTACTGATTTCCAGCGCGAGGGAAAAAGCAGCAATCAGACCCGCTAAACGGGGTTTCATACCAGAACCACTGCATCCCAAAATGCCGAGAGCCTCTCGTTGCGTTTCGTATCCGGTTCCACCTCCAACTGTGCCAACCGGTAGAGATGGGAAATAGAGTGTCAATTTCACCTGACGAGACTCATGATCATACTCCGGGGTCAAGTGTCCAAAGGGCCCTTCAGCAACCGCTGCAGCGTCCTGGCCAGTCGCAATGAAGATCCCGGTGATGACGTTTGCCACGTTTATATTAGATCCGAACTGACCGTTTCGAATCCCTCCCTCTTGTGTTGTGCGGAAAGAGTGGTACAGGTTCTCGGCCGTGCACTTGAGAACGGCACGGCATACCTCGTCAGAAAGTGAGGCCCACGTGACAGCCTCAACGCCTCTAGGCAAGCTGACGGTTCCCCATGATGGCTTTTTGTCCGGTGCCATGTTGCCCTCAATGAAGACACCGGTGATCTGCAGCTCCATCTCCTGTGTGGAAGCAAGAAGCCAATCACAAACACGCTGAGTAGCAATCGTGACCATATTCTGACCTGCCGCGTCTCCACATGTGTAGTCAAACCGCACATGTACATTGGAACCCACGATATTCGGGGTCAATTTCACAAGACGAGCATGACGGCTTGTGGACTCTGCGGTCTTGGCAATATAATCCCAGAGGTCCGGCACGCGACGGGCAAAATCGATTGCGTGTTGGGTACAATTGAATCGAAAGACTGGACTGCGAGACATTGCTTCACTCAGAACATGAAACTGGCCTCCACCAGATTCATTCAGAGCCTTACAGCCTCTGCTGCAGCTTGCAATGATGGCGGACTCTGTGGTAGCAATTGGAGCGAAGGTTCTGGTACTGGTGCCATCAGGACTTTTGATCAACAGAGGACCGGCCAGTCCAACGGGCACAGAGGTATATCCGATGAAATTTTCAATGGTTATTTCTGGTGCATCGTTTACGCGTTCGGTTATATGTTTTGCATCTTGGAGGACGTGTGCAAACTTTGCCATCGTCTTCGAAGCCATTTATGCGATATAGACTGGAGATGGAAATAATATTTTGTCAGTTGCTGTCTGTTGGCGTAGCGAAAATAAGTTGGCCATTACTGGGCCGGATATTCATAGCATGTAAATATATAATATAGGAAAGACACCTCGGTTTAAGAGACAAATATCACAACCTCGGGATCAGTGTCTATCCTACAGGTGGAATATGCCCTCGGAGATCTGCATCACGCTTTTTGCTATCACAGCATGTGCCATTTTTATCATGGGAGTTTCGTTAGATACGAAATTTGCCCGTAATAGTTCTCTATATGCACACCATGCAGAAAGGCATTTCCTAGATCATTGTCCGGTGAGTTTTCTTGCCGGATCGAGCCCCCAAGCAAGCAGCCGCATTGATCAAGGTGGCGTGGTTGTTGTGTAAGAAGTCACATCACCATACCCTCCACGTAAACGGCTGCATTAAATTAGTGTAGCGTATGCCCGTGTGTAAAGATCACATTATCACGCCAGCAAGCAAGTAGCTGCATTGGTTAACATGGCATGGACCTGTCATAGAGAACCACATGACCGTCAATCTATCCAGATAACTCTTTCCAATGGCAGAGTACCAAACATATAATGATTGATATAGTAATACAATGCTTCAATAAATTTGTCTTTTTTTTATTTATGAAGCAGGCTCTTTATTGCGATTATTCATAGCAATTGTTCAAGGCGACGCCTTACATTCTTCAATTATATTCAAGTCCTCCGCTGTCAGTGTCATTCTATAACTTGGACATTGTCGTAGGATTTATCGCTCCACAATGTCTTTTCCATCACTCGAATTGGTCCATCTACCCTTATTCAAGCCTATTCCGGAACATACTCCCGATGATGAGAGAACCTATATCAGCTACCAGCGTGCTGCTGCCGTTGTCAAAATTTACGGTTAGAAGACTACTCCCAATATCCAATCCTTGTGCTAACTCACCTAACGCATCAATCCAGGCATGACAGCGGTAGATGTCCTTCAATTCACTCCAAAGTTCTGGAATCTTCATCTGGATCTCATTGGGGCTTTAGACTGCGCTGCATATACGTTGATGACCATTCAAATCAACCTTGCAGCAGGAACATTGGCTCCTTTTGCAGAGAAACAACCGCAGTACCGAAAACTCTTGAATCGGATGTTGGACTTTGAAATTTCGTTAGTATACAGCCGCCCATACCTACTAATATGTCAAGCTAATTCTGTTGACTAGAGCACAGTATATGCTCACTGAGGTCGGGCACGGATTAGATGCAAAGAATTTGGAAACAACTGCAACAATGCTTCCAAGTGGAGAGTTCGATCTACACACCCCTAGACCCAGTGGGGCAAAGTAAGGTAAAGATGCTTCTCATATTGTGGCAATCTATTGATCATCTCAGGATGATGCCACCAGCTGCGCCAGTAAAGGGTTTCCCGCGAGTTGGAATTGTCTTCGCCCGGCTTATTATTTCCGGTGAAGATCGTGGTATCAGACCCTTTATCACTTGGCTCAGCGATGGAGAGCATATGTGTGATGGTGTGACTGCGAAGTACGTATGACAGAAGAACACTCAGATTGATAGAATAATGTACTGACCTAAATACTCACTTTCCTTTTAGGTTGCTCCCCAGACGAGCAGCATCAAAGCCGCTGGATCATGCCATTACGACTTTTACTCATGTCCGCCTACCCCAGTCCGCCCTCTTAGGAGGCCTGGATAAGCCGAAAGATATGCGAAAGGAGTTTCTATCATCCATCTGGCGCGTTGGGGTTGGTAGTCTCGCGTTGCCACTACATATGATTCCAGCGATGAAACGGGGTGTTTTCGTCGCAGGAAAATATAGCCAGCGTCGGCACATATTGGGGCCAGACCAGAAACCTAAGCCCATTATCTCTTTCCGGACTCAACACGGCCCCATACTGCATGCATTGGCCCAGCTCTCCGTTTTCGACGCCTATGCTCAAAAGAGCATCCAGTACTTCAAACACACCAACCTGGCAGCCCCGGTCCAACATGCGATTGGGGCTATGTCGAAGGCTGTGTTGTACAAAGCATCTCAAGCCTGTCTTTTTACTCTCTCCGAGCGATGTGGAGCGCAAGGTTTATTTGAGAACAATCATATTGTTGAGGCGATGCTGGAAACGCGTGCAATGTCGATCGCCGAGGGAGATACCCTAGTGTTGAGTATTCGTATGGGGCCTTCTTTCGTATTATTTTACGTGATGTACTAACGAAGGTAAATTCTAGGATTGACATCGGAGATTCTCCCTAAACCGCTACGAAATGCCACCGGCAAAGGACTCAACCTCCCTTTTAGCAAAGCACGAACAAGGGCTACTTGATGAGCTTCGCGGGATGACCAGGATCATTTCAGGGGGCCACCGCGGAGAAGATTTTGACCGGTTGGTCTTGCCAAGATCCCAGGAATTCGTCGAGGCTATGGGACATCGCATCGCCTATGAAGCCGCTATAGAGGCAGGAGTTCATTCTGACTTAGTGGCACTGTATGAAATCTGGGTCATATTGCAGGATTTGGGCTGGTTTGTCCAGCATACGAGTCTGACCCGGGAGCGCATGTTCCAGATAGAAGCAGAAAGACTCAGCGCTGTGTTGCCTCAGTTGGATACGTTGCTGGACGCTACTGGCGCTGAGCCGTACTGTAGTGCGCCTATTGTGACCCAGGCATCATGGGACCATTTCGTCGACCAGTTGGAGACCAAGACAGGAAGTCGTACTACAAGCATCGATCTCTCAAGGGGCGGGGCCATGCTGTAAACGTCGTTCCCGTGTTTACTATTCCTTTTCGGATGGAAGTTATTTTGATAACACATTTTCTGTTTTAGCTTTTGTTGTCTTTTTCCCTCTTCGGTTGTTTTTCTCATTTTAAGTTAGAAATCCAATTCCTTGAAGTTTATGATCCCTCCATCTTCGTCGATCTATGCATCAAAAGATAAAAAGGTCTCTGCTCAGCCCCTGTGCGACCATTAATGTCCCCCAATGTGGCTGAAACAAGTACAACATATATCTTGTTAATAGAAATACCAATTTAAGCGATATCATGTTTTATGAGAGACTAGGAAATCCGTATCGAATCCTTTAGTGCGAGGATCGGCAGAAAGCGATGCCCGTCTTGTGTTTGGGCACTTATGAAGCAGAAAGGGCCGGGAGGCAAAGGGATTAGCAGAACAATGTATTGTGAGTCCTTGTAATATAAGCCGAGCTGAACAGGCAGAGGCTGTTCCTTAACTACCTAGGTACACACTTGGGCAGTACCCGTGGATAATGTAATCAGCAGGCGAATCCATGAATGACTGAACTAGGCTTCGGTGAGCTGTTTCCAAAATTTCAGAGAAAATGCGTCGCTGAGACTCGAACCGGAAAAAGGTTTCCGTTTACCGCTGGCAAGGCTCTAGCTGGCTTGTTATGATTTTGTGTCACTAACTTGTGAAGACATTGTTGTCAATGACCTAGGTGTGGAGTAGGAAGAAACGATGTGGGTTGAAGAGAAAATGAAGGTATTAGTGATGACATCCATACAGAAGACTTGTCTTGGGGATGTTCCTTCAACTCCTGTCAGCCCTAATGCAAAATATATATTTGGGAGTTGGATACTATTAATATGTAGCTTTTTCCCCCTTATAGAACACAAAGTCGCCAAGCCATACATCAATTACGGGTTCCATAACTCAGTTGGTTAGAGTGTGATGCTAATAACGTCAAAGTCGAGGGTTCGACCCCCTCTGGAACCACGTTTCTTTTTTTTGTCTTTTTCTCTTTTCATATCTTGTCTTGGATTTCCGAATCGTCCCCCCTTTTTTTTCTCTACATCATGGTACTAGATGAATATTTTGTGGCGGGTTATGTCTATCAAAAACATCAAGCAAAAGACGAGCCCGCAAGGAAGCCAAGTCAAGACAGGAAGAAATAAAAACGCCCAAAGAACCGACACAGAATAAGTCGTCACCGCCGTTGGAATAAACAGGTCTGGAGAAACCTCCCTCCTCCGCGATGGCAATCTTACGAACCTATTGCTACTCGAAGATCCAAGAACCTGTCTTGTTCCTATTACGCCAGAAGTCAGCTCTTCAGGATAGCCTCTAAATGTATGACTGCATTCTGATCTCCAGGTGACCCTTTCTGGTCCTCAAGCCTCAGGCTGTGCCACCTCACACACAGTCCCTATCTCTTTACAAACCCCGCATTGTGATAGCTGTACGTTGCAGCGCAGCTTTCGGCGTGGCCGCTCGTCATACGCACGAGCCGGGCGCTGGTGCCCGTGTGTCGCACGTAGGAATATCGCTTCCGTTCCGTTTCGAAGGTGGATGACATGCGTACTAGGCGAAGCACCGGAGAAAATGATGGGCTTGCTTCCTTCTCGGGTAAGATAATAAAGGGGAACGCAAAGAGGGAAGGGGGAAGGTAAGCTGGACGACCTCGGGATCAGCTTTAGCTGACTGCATCATATGTCACCCAGAGCCTAGGTAGGTGGTTACGAAGAGGCATCGAGGCACTGCATGGTTTGGAGAGGGGATGAGGGGCCGGGCGTAGAATCTCGTCTGTTCAAGAGCCTGCAAAGATCGATAAGATGAATGTCAGCACGGACTCACTAATGTATTTCCACGGCATATTTAAGGGCCATACCAAGTACCTTGATTGAAGAAGTCCGCTCCATTGTATGGATTCTGCTTGTTAACTAGTCATCAAGATATTAGGAGAGGAAGTGGGAATGATACTTCTCAGAGTGAGCACCGAGGGTGTTAACTGCTAGCCCCTCTCCCATCTCGTTAGCGTTCTCAAAGTCAATATGTAAGCTATACGTTTCAGCCTCTCTTGTAGCTTAAGGGGTCTTTGCAAGGACTTCTGGTAGCTGTATGGATACCGACACATCAGCAATAGTCATGTCGATTCACTTAGCTACAATATGCAGTCCAACCATCGTAAACGTTATCTAAAGCCTTTATCGATAGAGGGAAGTCTATGATCGTCCTATCTGATGATACAAGTTGGCAGTAGAATCAAACCCCATCCTAGAAGGACGTGAGGAAGTCCCATGAAACATTTCCATGATCGAAAGAAATCAAAATACGCCCCCCTCCACGTATTCGTCCCACTCCGCTCGGTGAATTCCCGCGAAAAGTCTCGGGACTCCCAACATCTTTAGGTAGCCATATCTCATCGGCCTCCCCACCCAAATATGCAGGGGCTAACCTATGAATGTTTGAAGTAATTTCCCTTTTGCTTGGCATCCTAGCCTGCACGCAGCAGCAAGCCTGGATAGCCCACAAACATGACGTTTCTGCTTACGCAGCTTCATTCATGTCGGACGCTAATACGATCGTAAGCTTGATGCGTGGTCAACGGGCGCGAAAACAAGCAAAAACAAAGGTAAATTAATCTTAGTATCAACCCCGAATCTACCTGGACTGCGTACAGGAGTACAGAAGTCATTGTTATGGATTGACCCTGTTCAAATATCCAAGTATGAATGAACTGCGCCTTGTCTCAGCCACATATGACTGCCCAGTAAACTTAGATTAGAGTACGTTGGACATGCTCCTCCGTTTTTTATATCCGTTTTATATATCCTCAACTCCACCGCCACATTCGGCCGAACCCTTATTTATTGGCAGGTGCATAATAATATGATTATCTTCCGAGTGGCCCGATATAGCAGGTTTGTTTTGGGAAGGTGGAATAATTTCCTGATTACTAGTACTAACGTCTGAAATTACAACATCCGAATACAATTGGATGAGCGGATACAAAGTGGGAACATAAACTTTGATAAATGGGGAACCAGGAGGGGAAATTGTTAGAGACGGATAGGATAGTACGCGAGTTCCGATGAATTCGTACAATATACTCCGTACAGTTTGGTTTGATATCTCATTCTCAAGAGAACTCATGAAGATCATGTTTGTAATAAAAAGGGTCTCGACTGCACAGGGACACAGCCGTTTTACCGAGACTGGTCAACATCCAATAGAACAAAGGAAGCTAGGGTTTGACGGTAGCCTAAAGTGATACCTGGGGTCGCGCTCAGACCATAAGGGACTTGATTTTTGGAGCGAAGTCAATTATCAGGGATGATCAGGTTTGCAGTACGGAGTACGGAGTAGCAAAATGGCCCATAATGAGTCCACTCGGGGCCATTTGCCTCCGCTTTGTAAGCAGGGGTTCCGACCTTGGCGTGTCCAAGGTTGACAGGATATTGAGCATCTCCAGGCACTGAAATTCTCGATATCTTAGCACAGGTCCCATAATTATCCAGGGATGGTAGTGGCTCCGAAGGCTAGAAATAGATGGAAAGATCAATAGTGCGAAAGCATCCGAACACGACAAGAGGATTTAGTGTGGAATTGAAGTCTCCACGCTGGGAGGCCGGGAATGTATCTGCCGGATCGTCTCTATGGAGTTAAGCATAAATTCCGGTGCTTACGAGCATTAAGTTTGTATACTTACAATATATACGGTCTGGAAACCAGGCAACAGTTTAACGGAATTGTGGCTGAATGCCGAGAATCATTTTCTGATTCGAAGATGGGAAGATGCATGGTGGAGCTGGGTGGAGATGAACCTGATCTTTTTTTTATCGGTCATCGGGCAGAAAATCTCCGGGTGTCTCGGTGTCGGGGAGTTTTGAGGCCATCAATAAATCCAAGTTAGTTATTCAGCCCAATCTTTACTCTATACTTCGTACCTAAGGTTCTTACTCCGCGGAAGGGTTGAACCACGTAAGCATATAAAAGGCCGCGTGGGCTAAGAAAATGTGGCGGGTGCAGTAGTAAATTAGGGTATCCATGCCGCTAAGCAGGAATGGTGATGATAGCGAAGCTATGCAAGTGGTTAACGCCTCACTAGTCCATTCATAGTAAGCGGGCCACGAGGCCCTGCGTTCGAGTAAAAGAAAAAAAATAAAAAATAAAATAAAATAAAATAAACAGGGTCCTTCTAGGAACCTAAAAACATAGCGACGAGTACGGAGTACAGGGCCCTGAGGAATCAAGCCTGTGGCGTAAGCTCGAGAGAGAGAACAGACCCGAACACTAAATCCTTAGCCGAAACAAGCAAGGAAGCGTATTCGTCGAAGCTGGACTAGACAGCCCGAACTATCGTGGATATACGTCTCCCGTGGATATATACGTAGGCCGCATACGTATGCTCCATCTAAGATCGAGTATAGGCAAATCAACGCTCGGCTGGCAAAGCCCCCAAACGGTCCGCGTCCTCAGCTCACGAACCTTGTACTACGTCTTTCCTAGATTGGTACAGCGGATCGGAAGATTGAAGCTTAGCTTGATCGGCGGTGCCACGCATTGTCTTTGGAGGAACGAGGGAAAGAAGGAAAAATGCAAATCTTGATATATGACCGGATAGAGTATACGGTTGATTCATAATGTAAATAAAGGCCAGACTCTGCTAAATAGATCACTCCTACAACATAGAAAGAATGCCTGTTTCATTGTACTACAACATGCCAGGTATGTTGAGGAAAGTCAGCCCTGGAGAGTCCCCGCGAATGGGTCGGAGCGGGCGGATGGACGCGAATACGAATCCTTGCACGGGCCAGTCCCTTTCCCACCTACGTAAATATTTTGAAATGTCGACGCAAACAGTGGAAGAAGAGATTAGGTTAATTAGGTTTATCTTTACTTGAAACCGGAGGAAACCTCGAAATGCGTATACATTCGTATTCTGTATATTCCGCATATTGTACACAATAGATGCATTGTACGATCCATAATATTGACTGTACCCGCAATTTCAGGGGAGAATGATTATCCTAAGCTTGGATGGTCTCGGGAAGAAAGGAGCAAATCTCGGTGCAAAGTACCCTTTCAAGAGAAGAAAACAGCCCAACAAGAGCGCCACGTTATAGCTTGAAGGGAAAATAGATTATCAGAACGTTAAAATGTTAGAGATCGGGGCTGGGCCTTTCATGTCTCACCTTTTTTTTTTCCATTTATACCGTAGGGCGAGATCGTCCGGCAGTAAAATAAAGGAATAAAACGGAACGAAATAGAACTATAATCTGTAAGAAACTAAGAAACCAACCAATCAACGTAAGAACCCCGAACTGAAGCCAATACCCGCTATGGAATCCCAAGCCGGAGGTGAGTTCCCAAACAGGCCAAGGTACCAACATCATCACTTACGTATGTTCTTAGATTTCTAGAAAAAGTAGTATGAGAAGTGAGCTATATGATTCTAAGTATGAATACGTACTATATTGCATGGATAATGTGGACAGGGTTAAAAGCTTGTGGTTCTTTTAGATTTCCCTAAACTCCATAGATCAAATAACATAGAAAAGATGCCAAATCCCGGAAATAAAATCAATCTCAGGGTCCAATGGTCTCATGATAACCCGCAGTTCTGCCGATGGGTGGATCTTTTCCTGTTTTCGCTTGGTTCAGCCGAAGCCCTAGTCCGAATGACAACCCGGAGTTAACACCTCCGACTACGTATTATAGTATTAGAGTATTATAGTATTATAACTGGGATAAAATAGTGAAAGCAGAAGAATAGAAACTCAAATAAATCCGAAAAAAAAGAAAAGAAAAGAAAAAGAAAAAGAAACCATAGACCTCTACACTAGGGTCGGAAGAAACGGAGAAGAAAACGGGTCTGCACAGGTGGATTAGGGGTCTTGGTATGTATTGTATTGTGTCTTATATTTTTAGGGATTTTCTATTATTCTTTTTTATTTAATTCTCCACTGAACTAAATAGCGTGATAGAAGAGTACTGAGCCTCGACAGACCCTGGAGCTTGGCTTCTTTCGCTCTTTTTCGTATAATTAGTTACCAATGGCCATGGTTGGCTCCGTTTTCTTTCTACTTGATCTATATTTGTATCAGAGTTCTTACCTCTTCATATCTCTCCATCTTATTCCGGTCAATCCCCCCATCTTATCTCATATCCTGGATCTCATTTCCACTTCGACCTCTACCACGGACACGCGCAGAGCGCATTTCGTTTCTACATATTCTCAGACCGCCTGACACTTATCTGGAAGAACTGTTACTTGGAGTTAGACAACCAGCGTTGAACTTCGACTTTTCTGCAACATCCCCAGGCCAGTTTGCAACTGCCTTTGAGGGTTGTGTTCCCTCATCCAATTGCAAAATTAGAAAGCAAAAAAAAAAGGAAATCCCCAGGGGGAGAAGAAAAAAAGAGGATCTGAGCCTCGGAACAATTCCACTGCGACGGAAGGAGATTTGTCAGACCTCGCCTTGCCCTATTCCGAGTCGTATCTCCAGTATTCAACAACCTTTGAGATACTTCTCGTCACCTCCACCTGAAAAAGGACATACGAAGCCCGGCACAAGCTCGAGTCATCGGGCCTCAGTTCACGTCTGCAGGCCAGTGCCGATTTAGGGTCTAATGTTGTCGACGTGTTACACGACACAGAGGACAAACATCTTTCGAGAGCCGCTGGTGCGTTTGTCGTGTCCTCCTGGGGGCAAGAAATGAGCGAGATGTTCTTTCTCTTCTTCGACACCCTCCTCCCCTTTCTCCCCTTGTCTCAAACGGCGATCTCTCGAGTTCTTACGAGCATCCAGAGCCCAGCTGAGCCGGTTGCCAACAGTCTAAACTGACTTGCATTCTGCCTTTTAGTATAGTTTCCCAGCCCCGGTGACCGCACATCGGGGCATTGAGGAGATGTCCAGCTGTAGGACGAGTATTGTGTCCATTCTGAATAATGATGACAACCCATCTTTTGCGGTCCGTTCCGCTCCCCGACTTAGCCGGAATCACACATCACCATCATATTATCCACATCATTCAGAGACACTACCCCCGCCCGTCAGCGACCCACCGTTCACCCGTCCCCAAGCTTCATCCGAATCTCCAGCAACATCACCACGAGGGACCAGACACCCCTCGGACGCGATGACTGAAGCCGTCCAGCCCGTCTCACCCGGGTCATCCGACGGCTCAGCTTACGACTATATCACCAGTCAGTCATCATCTTATCACCCGTATTCCCGGCAGGATCCGCGACGGGAACCATACCGATTCCCTGCTCGTGGGCCAGCAGGTCCTCGAACACCACCGGAGACTCGTTCGAGCACATCCGAAAGGCCTTCTTCTCAGACCGGGGCGACGCGCGGCACAGGGCGGAAGAACAAGTACCCGTGTCCCTATGCCGTGAGCCATGGATGCTCTTCCACGTTTACGACTTCGGGTCATGCGGCGCGCCACGGGAAGAAGCACACTGGCGAAAAGAGCGTGCTCTGTCCCATCTGTAACAAGGCCTTTACGAGGAAAGACAATATGAAACAGCACATCCGGACTCACCGCACGCACTCGGATGACATGCGCTCTACTTCGGAGCCGGAGTCTGATGCTCGATGGGCGATGGGTCGTCCCGGTTCGGCATACGCCTCGGCTTCGCACCAGCACAATGCCAGTCAACCTATGGAGGCAGGTGCACCGCCTGTCCCGGGCGCTGGCCCTCAAGCGCCCTAAGGACGCCAGTCGGGTCTTCTCCGACCGTCCACTTTATTTGCTGTTTAGTACACCACTTCCTTCCAAGGTTCTGTTGGTCCCTGCTTGGCCACTGCTGTGCGGTGTGATTTGGTTCTGTCTATTTGTCCTTTTTTTCTTTTCTTTTTGACTGTCGATCCTGACTCTCAACATGTGTTCTTTTACCTTTGTTCCTTTCTTTTCATACCTCAGCGATATCATTTGCATGACTGTACGTTTCAACTCATCGAGACGTCAAGGCCGACTTTGTTACCATGTGTCTTTATTGTTTTCCTGTTTTATATCCCTCGTGTACCATGTTGAAATTCTCGTGTTATGTGTGGTTGAAATATTGTGAGAGGCGATCAAGTAGTATCCAGCTTCCCTTCAGGGATTTCCATGAGAAATTATGTGCAACCAGTTCAACGAGATCCAGAGCATCGTGTCGGATCGTAACTGGGAACCCCCTGAAGGCGACCCGTGGAACCATTGTTTACGTTCCAGAAATCTTAATTCCGGGTAGTTTTGATATTGTCGGTTGGATATTTGTATGTTTGTGTATATCTTGTAACGGGAAATAGAAGTAAGATAATAAAAAATTATCGAATGGTCTGCATTCGCGTATATTATAGGGCTGGCCCGTTGAAAATTCCCTGACACTAAGATGCAGGATGACGTCGGAGTAATATCTGATATCTGATACACGACATAAGTCCAGTTGCTCATTCGATGGGGTATATGTGCATGAGAAACATCCCTTTGTTCTTTTTTATACGTCATTGGCGTAATCTTGATTCGCAAGTATATATACTCTGTGAAAAGGAATGGTCCTTTAGCGTTGGACTTTGTACTTCTCTTCTATGAATTTCATAAACCGATGTACTATCTCTCACTCTCAGCCACTGCCAAGTCTCTCAGCCCCCAGTTCTTCGCTCACCCATCTGAATCCACATCGACGTCACGCCACCCCCCCACCCCGCCATACATCTCTGATCAACTTCTTTTTTTCCCATCCCACATATTCTCCCAGTGAACGGTAGCAGCTCACAACCCTCGACCTTTTATCTTTCAATTTGTGTCTCACTTTCGCCTCAACGATGGCGTACTACGAGGATCGCCGTTATCGCGAGCCGCGCGACCGCTACACACGAGCCAGTTACGCTGACCCGTATGATGATCCTCGTGGTCGTTATAGACGACACGAGCGAGACTCATATGTACCCCGCGCCAGCACCGACTCGATCGAGGAAGTCCAGCGCGACTACCCCCCAGGCTCAGAGTATGCCTACGAGCGTCCTTATAGTTCTCGTCGGCCGAGGCGACCCGTTTACGAAAATGTGCGCCGCGCCTCCTCCGTCAGCGGATACGATCCATACAACGATGCATCTTACCGAAGCTCTGGTCCTCGTCGGTCAAGACACTACGAGGATAAACGTGAGTGATATAGAGCTGATGTGGTTGAAATTGATCCTAATATCTCTCAGGCTCCCGTCGCCCAAAATACGATTCTGATTCTTCTCCAAGCCGTTCTCCACCCCGCCACAGACGTCGCAAGTCGTTCAGCGAGCAAGCCCTGGGCGCCCCAGGTCTCGGGGGTGCCGCTTCTTCAGCCAGTCGCGGAGAGCGTGGTCGCGGTCGTTCCCGTCCCGCCATCGCCATAGATCATATTCAAGGTCACCGTCAGATTCGCGAAGCCGCAGTCGCCACCGCGGTGGTAGCAAGCGCGATAAAAGTGAGCAGCGCATCGCACAGGCTGCTCGCGCCGCCCTGACAGCCGGCGCTGTTGAGGCATTCAAGCAGCGCAAAGAGCCAGGTGACTGGGCCGGTGCGAAAGGAAAGCGCGTTCTCACTGCCGCTGTGACGGCTGGTGGTACCGACGGCCTTGTCGATAAAGATCCCAACAAGCACGGGAAACGTCATGTTATCGAGTCCACGCTTGCAGGTCTGGCTGCCAGTCATTTCGTTGGTGGTGGTTCGCGCTCGCGGTCTCGTGGCCGAGACGGCGGTCGGTCTTCAAGTGGTGGCCTCAAGAATCTCGCTGCTACTGGAGCTCTTGCTGCTGCAGGAAAGGAAATCTATGATCGATACTCGAAATCGCGTTCTCGGCCTCGCGGCCGCAACGATTCCCGCGACAGTGACGAGGAGCGTGGCTCCCACAAGCGCAGCAAGAGCGTTTCGGAGTACATCAGTAAGGGAATGGCCGCCCTGGGACTTGGAAGAAGAAGAAGACCGTCGCGACAGCAGAGATCGTAAGGATCATCACCGGGGGCATCGGGATGACCGAGAGCGGCGTCATCGCCGGGGACATCGACGCGACTATTCGGATTCGGATTCAGATACGGACAGCGATTATTACAACCGGGACTCGAGACGGGGCAAAAGCTCGAGAGATGTAGGTCGACACCATTCATTGGACGGAAGAAATCCACCCCCCCTATGCACCCACTAGCGCGTCGCGCGGTGAATCCGGTGCCCGCGGCCACGGGTCGAGCTCCGAGAGTGATTCTGACTTAGGCGACAGTTCTGATGAAAAGAAGCAACGGAAGAAGCTGAAACGGGATATGCTCGTGACCGGAGGTCTGGCCAGTGTGGCCACCATCCACGCTGCGCATAGTATCTACGGGAGCATGGAGAAGAGGAAAACAGCGACAGAAGCAGTTGAAAGAGGGGGAGATTACGCCCGAGGAGGCCCGCAAACACCGCATGAAAGCTAACACCAAGGACGCTGTGAGTATCGGTCTCGCTGCATTAGGTATCAAGGGTGCCTATAGCGAATGGAAGGAGGTTATGGAGAAGAGCAAGGAAAATACTCATTTCCGGGAGGAATGTGCTCAGCGCGCTGTTAGACGTGAGAAGCGTCGCGCTCGTAGCCAGGGTGCGCCTTCCCGTCATCATCGTTGGCCCGATGAGATCGAATACGCGCCTTCGACGATCGATTCCCGGAGCGACCATACGACTTTTTACCACGATGGAAATCCTTACGGGGCGCATGAGGCACAGCAGATCTCTTACTAGTGTTTTAGTTCGAGCCATCATGACTTTTTACTCTTTTGATGACTTATGAGACCATGATTCTATTTGATATTCTATTTGATTTGAATATTTTCTGCTTTCTGTTTTCGGCTCCCTGACGAATCTCTTATGTCTTGTCATTCTTCCGTTTTTGCAGAGTTATATGAACATGGCGGGCACGCTGGATATGGTGAGAGATACTCCAACTCCACATGGGTGGTTTTCGTCTTATTCTTGAGGCTTGGCATGTCCAGTACACGAACAAAGGATATCTGTCTCAATGGTTCATGTTTAGTAGTGAATGAATCCGTACATGTACTATGTAGATGGACATGTGTACAGCGTTGCCCAGGTGCAGTGTCCTCGTGGTTCTCCTGCACGTGCATGGAAACCGAAAGCGGATCTTAGTGCTACTCAATGCCTCAAGCCAGCCGCAAAACATCCTTGGCCCTAGAATTGGTCGGTTAGGACTGCTTCCACTTTATCTCCAGGCACGATCTTGACTCCCGCAGGTTATTCAACTGGAATTCGACCAAGTTATCGTCTGGAGTGCGGCTTACCTTCCTGAATTATGGCAGAAAACTGCCATAGCGAGGAGACCCTCAATCCTAGCGCACCTGGAAACATCACAGACTATTCAGCTGATTCGCTTGCTACGTCTACTGCGATGACCGCCGAAAGAACTTACTACCATTGCGGTAATTTCTTCATCAAACGAGGCCTCCGGCCGAGCGAATACAAGACCACAATTCGAGGCACAAAACACATCCCCCGACTGGGGAAAGAACGACTCCAAAACGAGGCCGCGGCGTTGCGTTTTATTCGACGAGTTAGCAACATCCCTGTTCCAACTTTGTACGGTGCTTTCGACGTCGACGACTCGTTCATAGTAATCACAGAGCACATTGACGGCGTGTCTATGTCAGATCTATCGGATGATCAAAAAAGCGTCGTCCGTTCCGAAGTCGGGCAGTACCTATCCATCCTCCGTGGGATCAAATCGGACACTATTGGTGGCCCTTCAGGGATAGTTCTCCCACCTTATCGAGTGATGCGGCTCTCGGACAAAAATGAATGGCCACAGAAAGTATCCAAAGATAGTGAATATGTCTTCTGCCACAACGATCTTGCCCAGCATAATATTATTGTCGATCCCCAAACATTGAAAATCCGGGCTATTATCGACTGGGAATACGCCGGGTTCTTTCCTGAACACTTTGAGTGGTCTTTCTACGAAAGACGAGGCCCGTCGGTAGCGCTCGAGGGTGAACATGATGATTCCGCAGAGTTGCTGCAATTTATGGAGGATCAGTGTGTCTAGTGATGGTCGACTTTCCTTTCTGGGCAGCAGTACATGTACGAGCTAACCATCTCTCGCATACAACAAGCCACTGCCCCCAGCCACCAGACACCGTACTACGGCCATCATGGTTGCCAGTGCTATCAGACGTTTCAAGAACACGCGCGTTGTCAACATTCCCTGCGGACAGATCCTGCCTATGCCAGCTACAACAGAGATCGACTGTCGAAGCTGGTTGTGACGCTTCCAACCAGACCACGTCAGGTCGTCCTCGGAGGGAATACAAATTCCATGTGTCTAGACAGCATGAGAGCGCTAGTGTTGAGTGTCTGATTGGTTTAGGCAACGCGCTTGATAATATTACTTTGGGTAGTATTTGCATGAATCCTGCATTGAATGAGGGGAAGCCCAACAGTATTCGACGGAACAGACAAGGATTAAGAATGGGCTTGCTGCTGTTCCGGACTCTTCCGACATTCCCTCACTCTATGATTTCCATTTGGGCTCAGGGGGAATTATGGGTAGTCCATATATATAGGCACATATAGTAATATAGCAGATATAGTAAACAGAGTGCGGTTAACAAGCGCAACGGTATTTCGAATAACCTTATATCAGAGTCTAGAATCTCCAGGGCTATCTAAAAATAAACGAAATGAACATCTTGTCCTTTTTTAAATCTGATCAGCCCCCAAATTAGCAAAAGCGCAAACCGACATGCCAAGCAGCTAAGCAGCTTACGGAGGAGATTAGATTTGGCCCCTCCGCTTCAGCCGCAGGACCAGGACTCCTTTTCCCTATTTTTAAATGTACAACATAGAGCGTTTTTGATTTAATAGGGTTGTCCATTTCCCTTTTCCGTGCCTGTACACGTTCCACCATGGCCTCGTCGCGGGAGTCGCAGCACTCACTGCTATCCGAAGATTCGATCGACACTCGGCCCCAACGGTCTTGGAATCCACTCAACAATCGCCTAACCGACTCGGACTATCGCTACCATTCCCCCTCAGACAGCACCTGGTCCGAAGAAGTCCTGCGCGATGTCGGTCTGGGCATCTCGAACACATCAGGCGACGGCATTCCCGCAGAAATCTCGACAGACAAGCGCCATTCAACTGATAGCACCGCGACTACGACTCCGAATACCTACAAGATTCCACATTCTCCCCAGACTCCGCAGACTCCACATGCCCACGCCCACGTGCGGTGCCCCCAACCGGGCAACGGTGCTTCAGAAACGGCTCTCCTGGGTCCCGTTGACAGTCTTGATCCTCGCTGTCTATGCCACCATCTTTTCAGGTATCTATCTCGGCATTGCGCTTCGCAAGCCCCGATGGCAGAGTGTCTCCAGCGAGGGGCCCTTGGCTCCATCTACAGCAGATTTGCTGAGCGCATTCTTTGCGAAGACGATCGAGTTGGCCTATGTTACAATTTGCGTCGCGTTTCTGGGACAGGTGCTTAGTCGGAGGGCTTTGATGAGGGATTCTCGAGGAATCAGTATCTCGGATATGAATATGAGGGCCTGGATTATGCAACCCGGGTCTATGATTGTGCATTGGGAGGCACTGCGATATTCGGCGCTCACTTTTCTCGGATCGATTGCGTTGGTTGCAACGTTCGTTGCGATGCTGTACACCACTGCGGCGCAAGCTTTGGGTAGATCCTTTCCCTTCTATGCACAAACTATGACAAACACTAATCAACGACAGTTACTCCCAAACTCTCTCTTGGCCCTGTTGAACCGACGATACTCTACGGCAAGGTAACCTCCAGCTTCGCAAACCCCCACTACACTGCAGCGAACTGTGAGACACCCGTCACCAACGAAATGGACCCTGATTATCGCAACACAACCTGCATCCAAATTGAACACGTCGGCCACGCATATCATAACTACCAGCAATGGATAAGCCAGTGGGGCCAGCTAATAACCCACAACAATGAAACCTCAAGCGAACTCCAAAAGCGCCCAAAGCCAACAGGTTCACTCTGGGACAACACCACAGTAACAGGCAGCTGGATCAACATGCAAGACATGTCCACGCTATCCAAGGAACACGGCCGAATGATCAACAACATAACAATGGCAATGCCACATGGCGGCATCCCCGGCGCAGCAATGAACTCCAAAAACAGACTCAAACAACCCACAGACTCCTCCGGCGAAGGCAAATACACCATCGAAGCCTCCGTCCCCTCGCCAGCCGTCAACGTCCTCTGCACAGGAATGACAAAAGACGAGCTCAGCCCCCCTAGTCTACTCCTCCTGGCCCGGCGGCGACAAATTCAACATGACAACCTGGACTACCTCACCCCCAGACAACATCCCGCACCCCGCATCCTGGAAAAACCGCACAGTGGTCGACTCCCTCTTCCAATTCGGCCCGAAATACGACCAAATCCCACCCATTTTCGGCAAATACCCCCTCCCATACAACACAATCCTCAACACAACAGGTTCCTGGCCCGCAAACGCCATCTACCTCCTCGGCGCGACGCCACCATCCAACGACACCAACACACCAGCGTACGTGATGTGCTCTCTGCGCGGGAAACAAACAGGCGCATGTTCGACCACGTACTCCGCCGACACGAGCGGCGCATTCCTCAGCACGGTCTGCGAGAGCGCCTCAAACGAGCTACAGTACGACCGACGACATGACTTCGAGGGCCAGTGGGATCCAGACTGGAAGAACATCGCGTCGGAGTGGGCGAATGCGCTTAGTCTGAACGCCGGGATCACCGACGGCGCAGCCAGCAATGCCAGACTGCTGATGCAGATGATGCCGCGGTACGACAAGAACGAAGGGGCGTTCACGCTGGACCCGAGTTTACCTTCTATTGCCGAGGCATTGGCGGTGATGGCTGGAAGCACGCTTATCCTCAGCTCGCAGAATGCGCCGTTCGTTCCGTTCTGGAACTACAGTACCGAGAATCAGAACGTGCTTTCCGAGCCTGTTTACCAGGGTTTCGATGCCTCTATCCAGGCTGTTGGGTATGCTTCTGGTGGGACGGAGCAGTGGCAGGGGGTTTTCTATGTGATTCTTGTGTTTGCGTTCTTGACCAGCGCTGTCTGTCTTGGGTTTATGATTGTCGAGGCGCGCGGTCGACAGGTGACTGATTTCACGGAGCCGCAGAATTTGTTCGCGCTTGCTGTGAATAGTCCGCAGACGTCGCAGTTGGAGGGTGCTTGTGGGTGTGGGCCTTGGGGGGAACAGTTGAAGGAGAGGTGGTATATTGGGATGGAGGAGGAGGATGAGCATTATTATATTCGGAGTAAGACGGAGGAGAAGATTCCGCTTCTTAAGACGATGGATTCGAGGCAGTTGGAGCCGATGGAGATCGATGATGGGGGTGGGAGGATGCTTAGCCCTATGGTTGATGAGTTTAGGAAGGTGTCGAAACGTCATTCGTTTTTGGCGAAGCTCTATTGAAGAGGTTCATAGTATATCTCTGGGGGACTTGATGTTTACGATTTATGATCTATATACGGTACATAATGGGTAATGTTTGAAGTAATGGACATGACGAAAGGTGTTTCAATATGGCATGGTGACATTATAGAAGTTGACATTGTAGGAATTGAGATACTATCAACGAGAATAGTCGGCCGCTTATATGGCCGTAGTGTGGTCTTCTTGGATAGTCTTCCCCTATAGTCTTTTTATGTCTTTTTAATGGTCTTATTGAGTACTCTCCTTAGGTAGCCTTTTTAGATATCCAGTTACTTGATTTCAGTAAGTGACACTCGGATCGAAATATGTACACAATAATGAACACAAAACCCATACAAGAACTAGATCATCACAGTACAGGCACAGCCATGAAATCAACCGAATTAAAAAGAGCAACCGGTTCAAGTGTGGCACAACGCTAAGGAATCGCTCATACACACAAACACAAAACGAAGATGCTGGATGCAGACGAAAATGCAGCATGTCAAATGCAAGGACAAAAACAGGAGGTATTTTCAAGACACCAGTAGCCACGGAGACGCCATAAAAGAAATGAATGAGAGAGATAAGAGAGTCGCCAAATGACCTGGCGAGGTAGGTATTTTCCAAGGAAAGAGAGGGAGAGTAAGGGAGAGATGGGCTCCAAATGGACTGTACGTCGGATTGGGGCGAACGTATGTTAACGGTCAGCCTTGAGATTGAGCCAGCTCATATCTGAATTGGTATTGTTCTGCTGTCCTTGCACCGGAAGTTCGTCGATGTCATGTGGTATGATGACGCTGGATCTTCGTGCATTGGACTGTCTTCCTTTGTCTGCGAGGCTTCCGTTCGATGATTCCCAGGGCATGTCTTGCGTGCTCGTCTGGTAGAAGCTGGTAGTGTAGTTGCTGCTTGGGGGCCGTCCAAGCCAGCTGCTCTGGCCTGCACCTTGCCATTTTGAATCATCGCGGTCGTCGTCTGAGGCGATACTGATTGAATCCGCACTGGAGATTCGTGCCGATTGGCTCTCCGGGATTATCAGACTTCGACTGCCCGTCTCAGACGGGCCGTTTTCCGTGGTCGGGCTGCCGCTGAGAACGTGACCAAGTGGCTTGGGCTGGTCGAGGAAGCCGAAATTTAATGGTGTCAATGTAGTCATCGGCCAGCCGCTTCCGCGATAGTCGGACTTGGTGTATGCGGAACTGACAGTCGAGCGGTCGGATTGGAAGTTAGTGGCACCGCCGTCCTCAAAGTACTTCCCCCATCCTTCGTCGGTCAATCGGTCAGCAGCCTGGTTCCCATGCCCGGTGTCATCGCCAGCCCGATTGGTGTCGTCGGTGTATACGCTTGATGCGCCCATGGCACCGCTGGAGGGAATTGTGGAGAGCGGACTGCTGGCCTTGGGCTGAGACAATCCATAGCCCGTGTTAACAGGTGGCTTGAGGGATTTCTCTCTGTAGGTTCCGGACATGATAGCCAATGAGTCGGTCGAAGCGGCCGCGAGTGGGACAGGAGATCTTGCCATTGGGTAAGCGCCTTCGGTCAGGGGCTCTATGCCCTGGTCCTGGAAGCTTAGGCGGTCTTTGGTATCGCCCCCGCGACCGGGTTGGGCTGTCTGTTGCTTCTTCTTCGCGCGTCGCAGTAGGAAAAGAATGATGAGCAGGATCAAGCCAAACCCTAGGATACTCCCGAGAGTTGCGCCAAGAATCATTTTGCCATGATCAGTCAAGCCGCCAGCTACAGCCGCAACTGGAGATGACGAAGTGGGCGTAGTTGAGGCCGCGGTCGATGTAGATGTGGATGTGGATGATGAGGTCGATGTCGGGGTAGACGATGTGAATGATGTGGTGGATGGTTTGAGGACATGCTGATCTCCCTTTCCAAGGAACAGCTCTGTTGAGTTGACCCATGCGTTGGAAGTCTGGTTGAAGATTGCCAATGAGTCGTTACTTCGGCCGCTGGCGAGAACTACCAAGCCGTCACCCTGGGCGAGCGTATAATCAGTCCAGGATGCTGTCGGTGCGAATGTGTCGTTGTAAGAATCGGTGAGACCCCTCTTTTCCAAAGATGGAATGGCTGTGACCGGATTCTGCACCTTTCCTTTCGAGCTAAGGAGGTAGCTAGTGACACTATTTGGGGAGGCGACCATGTTAAATTCTTCAAGGACCTTAGTCCCAGAATCGGAGGCGAGCGCGCATAGAGAATTGGATTGGATTGCAGAGGGAAGAGTCGCCTCTGAGATGGTCCAGCCTTGCTTATTCGCGGTTTGATAGACGAAGATAGCAGTATTCGTGGCGGAGCCTCCAATCAAGGCTACCTCGGAAGAACTCCAAGGCAAGATGATGGGCTCATATAACGCGGGTTCGCCCTGGGGGACCCCAGACTCGATGTCGAAGGGCGATTTTGTGGAAATGAGGAGTGTCGATTGAGAGATCTGTGTGCTGCCATCTGTGTTTCCTGCGTAAACCAATATTTGCGAAGTTGAGGGAATGTATCCCGCGCCATGTCCAGTCCGATCTTTCATATCCGCTGATCTCATGGGCAATGTCTCCCACTTCTGTGTACTGAACGAAAAGCGTTGGAGGCCGCTGTTGCCGTCGGAGCCGGTCCCGCCGACCAGATAAAATGCCTCGTCTTCGCCCGCTCCACCCTGGACGCAGGCAGGGCCAGTAACCATGCGCTCTGGGGATGGGAGTAGCTTCCAGTCCCCATTCTCCTTGAGAGGTATTGATGCAAAGCCAGTCGGCGAATAGACGTAGAGGGTATTGCTGTGGATAGTGGAGCAATCGCCCTCGATCTTGGTTAGGGGTTTGGGGCCAGTCATGTTGAAAAATTTGGAATGGAATAGTTCAAAGTCGCGATTGATTCCGGACCAGTAGTGAAGCTAGGTAGCCAGCCAGCAAGGGACTTGAAATACCCGAATCAAAGAAAAGGTGACTGCCAGAGTACTATCTCATCTCGACCGGGACGGTTATGCGAAAAAGAAAAGCCAAACCACACTCAATCTGAATTGGCGCGTCAACAGGTAATGTCAACACAGGTTCTTGACTGCTTGATGCGCGATCAACTGCGATTTCAATTTCTCGCGGCGAAATTGAGGTGGATCGCGTGTCGGATGACTCGGTGACTCGGGATGACACAATCAGAGTAGTGGTTCAGATGTATCAACAATGGGATCACAACACTGACGCGTCGGTCAAAGAGGGTATCGAGTAAATCGAGTAATCACAAGGGTATGAGGGACTGGGCGATCCAGTCGAGTGAGTGGGAGAAAAAAAAGGCCAGAAAAACCCGATTAAGCGAATGGAGGATGGTTGGCGAAACGAAAGGCTAGAATATCAAAGTGCACAGCACGGTAAATTCAGGGAATTCAGAGAACAGCAAAAGGAGAGAACAGAAACAGAAACAGAACATCCAAGTGAAACAGGGAGAAGGGCCTCTTGACCCCCTAACGGCTCCGGGGAGGAGGTTAGCAGACGGTTTAGGGGGGTTAGCGAACAACGCCATCCCTTAAGGGGAATAATTTCGTCATTTTTCAATTCGTTCGGGTTTTTTTTCGTTCGACTTTTTTTGTTTAATTTGGCTTATTTCATTTTGATTGGATCTAAGTATCATTCTCATTACTTTGATCGTCCTTATTGGTTCTTCTTTGCCTTCATCTATTCTCTGCTATATTGATCAGGGGGGGGTTCTCCCGTGAATGCTCCCGATGAAGTGGGACCACACCTCTCGTGTACCTGGACCCCGTTTTTACTGGCACTTGGTACTTGCTAAATTTCCAATGCTCCTAGGGCGGACCTCTAAATGTGTTACCAGCAAGGGAGAATGCAGATGCAGTAACAATATTATGTGTCACTATACTCCGTACCCCATAATAACAATAAGTAAATAAAAACAAAAAAAAAACAAAAACAATAAGGGAACCTTGGAAGATTCCCCCCTCTCCAGATCCGTGGTTCTTGTCCGTTGGACCCACGGAAATTCCAAAACTCTGGCGCCTTGGCGTTCCGTTTCCAAGGTTCTTCCTCTATCATTGTGCTTCAAACGGACGCTGCCGAAGTCTTAATATTAAGCAATGTTGCCTACCTAGGTAACCTTGGGGACGTGTCTGTCTCAATTATGCGTTGGATTCATCTCTTCAATTCCTACTACCTAAGGAGACTACTAAAAAAAAGTCTGCTAAGAAGATCACTAAACTCTGGCATTATCAAAACTGGAAGCCCTCTTTTGTGGAACCGGATAAGACCTAGCGCTCACTACATCTACAACTTCCCAATTGCGATCGCACGTGTACAGCATATAGACTAGTTTCAAATTTATAGTACTAACGAGCGTCGATGTTATACTACCTCATCTCCACATCGCTTGTCTCAGGAGCCGTAGAATCTCGGGCCTCTGCAGTCATTCCAAGCCCCTATTGTACCCAAGTCCAAAGATCAACGACTACCGCACGAGCATGTGTTGGCTGAGCCGTAGAAATCCTTCTTGCAGATTTCACAAATGTCATCGACAGGCTGGCCTTTAATATTGCCCCCCACTGTTTAAAAAAGGTGTTAGTTAAGGCCTAGCAACCAATGTCGATACGACCAAGAACTTACTATTCGTGGTAGGACTGGAAAGTAGCTAGGTATGAAACTGGCGCTGAGCTACGCAGGAGAGTGGTCTCGATGACTGTCACCGAGGATATGAAGACTGCGTGTAGAAAGCAGAACAATGCTTGTTAAATGCTGAAGCTGGTCAAGTGAAAGTCGAGAAAGATTGGTGTGCTGCTTTACGACTCTCGGTGGTGATGGCTCATCAATGGCAGACTTTAGGACCACCTTTATATATGTCTGTCTAGCTAGAGTCGGTATTCTCAAAAGAAGTCATTCGAGTTCCCCTTTGTTCGTTCATCTTTAATGAACACGATTATCGTGTCGCCACCATCCTTTTCAAAGACTACAAAATATCCATCTTTGCTTCATGTCTTAGCATCTGCAAATATAGATTCCCTTTTTGTGGTCCTATTTTTACACGTTTTTCATGGGATTAGTTCCCTAATCAGGAAATTTGGTTGCCGTACCCCGCAGTTCGCTTTATATAGATTGATAGATTGGCCCCGTTTTATACCAGGGATTTCTCTATATTCGCCGTTCATAAGTTAACCTAGATACCCCACCATTACTACTCTTTTGTACGCAACCCATTCTATATATAGACGTCTCGGCTGAATGTAGTCTGGTTCAGAAATGCAGATATATAAAAGAATTCCCAATGGGAAGGTACCCTGAAACCAGGGTCTCTATGAATGACTTGATTAACAAAGGCAAATCAACACTCGAGGCGTCTGAAAGTGGCGCTTCTTGCAAGAGTTTAAATGGATATCCCCGCAGAGGGCTTTGATTCACTCCAAGAATTAGAACATGTCACATGTTCTAATTGGGGTAAACGATTATTGACAGGTTCTCAACCATCTGCAGCTACTGTCCTTGACGATCATCATATCGCTGATGTAACTGTTGGCACTCGTATCTACCATCAATATACTCCATACCTGTCGTGCACGACATGGATGTTCCAAGAATCTAAAATTCATTCAATTAGGATTTCTCTTAACATCAAGCTCTATATCTATAATCATTGGATTTAAGTTAATCCTTTGCCTACGTAGGTGCTAATAAGTCGTGAATTACTTGAAACAGAAACAGACAAAGCATGTTCTATTATGGAGTGCTAAACAACGTGCTATAACTATAGGGGAATATCAATCCAGTAAAATGATAGACCTCGGAAGTGAGGGCTTGGGCCACGCAGCGTGGGGCTGTGGAGCTGTGGATATGTTTCTGAGACGTGGGAACTGTCTCAGTCCTCCGTGTTTTGGAGTGATTAAGGGATTGATTGAGATATTCAAGAGTTGTAGACATATCTACTCTCATCTTATGATATACTCCGTACATGATATAGTCCGTAAGCTGTTCCAGCAGAAATGCATATAAGCGGATGTGTGGCTACCACTTCCTGTTCAACTCCCGCAAAGCACTCGCCCGATCTCTAATTCAGCCGACACATTACACCACTACAGATATGTACTACAAAGCCAGCCCCGCCCCGCTGAAGGATTATCGGCGGGGATGCAGCGATTGCACAACAGGACCAGGAGAATATGTAATCGTAACTGGTGTGTGGCCAGCATGCACGACATCCATACTGCATACATGCAGGGGACAGTCTCATTTTGAGGACACTACATAGCAGTTCGTGCCACTTAGCCGGCGAGACCCGATTCAATCGAATGAGAGTACATGGTCCGGTTTCATTGTCACACGCAGATATCGAAATGGTATTCTGGTCTGATTATTATAATACATGAAGTCCCCATGGCCATGGGCTTGCATGGATGTTTTCATGATGGAAATGATCCAAGGTGTCAAAGCAGTGGCAAATATGGGAATCAATTGATTTTTGTAAATAAAAGCTACCACAAGCTTTAGGACTGGTTCTGCTGCTTCCATTGGTGTGCCTTTGCCAGCAGACGAGAAAGATTGGCAGCAGATTGATCGTCTGCAGGGAACACATAGTCTGTGTACTCCTCGTACTGGTCGTCCTGCAACTTGCGGCGCTTCTTGACGCGTCGGGGCATCTGCTTGTTGATCTTGTCGATATGCTCGGGCGATCCAACTGTGTATTCGAATTGTTTCCACTCACCAAGAAGAGCATAGCGCTGTATATAGGTTAGAACAGACCGAATAGTGTGTGAATTCTGGAAGCAACAACTTACATCTTCCTTGAGATCCTTGTCTTTGAGCGCCTTGTCTGCCCGACTAAAGACCGCACGCGCGCGGATGGTTGCCTCTTCGGCGAACGGCTTCGCCTCCTCCTCCTCTTCTTCTTCCTCTTCCTCGGCTGGCACAAGGGACTCGAAGCGGGCGTAGTTGAGCCATACCTTGACATGATCGGTCTTCTGAAGGAGACGTTCGTACAGTTGTCGAACTCGCTCATATTCGCGTTCATCTTCTTCGAAGTCGATGTAAGCCTTCCACACAAGCTCGGGCATGTCAAGTGTCGGCTGTTCGATGGCAAGCTCGTAAATGGCCCTCGTCCGTTCCGTGTCCAACAGACTTTGCTCCAGCGCCGCAAACTGCAACCACGACTGGCTGTTGGAGGGGTTCCATTCAATTTGTTTCTCGAACAAAGTACGGCACCGCGCGAACTCAAACAGCCGTTGTTCAATTTCGATATAGCCACGGAAAAGTTTGTCCTTCGGACACATTCCGATCGCCTGACCCAATGTCTTCCGGGCTGCTTGCAGCTGCATTTGGCGAACCTCAAACTGTGCCTTCATAAGCCAGACCTTGGCGAATGTGAACTTCTTGTGCGGGATGATCTTAAGGCATTCCTGATAGATTTGCCCTGCGCGTTCCATCTCCTTCGCTTCCATTTCTTCCCACACGGCATAAAAGATCCAGAGATATATGTAGCGACGCCAATGTCTTTTCTCTTGTGATGGGGGAATCTGTGCAATGGCCCGTTCGTAGATGTCCCGCACCCGCTCTGGGTCACCCGAAAGTTCCTCCAATCGTGCAAAGTCGAACCAGACGTCATAGTTGCGAGGGTTCTCCTTGAGCTGCTCTTCATACTGTACTCGGCGCTTGGACAGAATCACATCCTCCAGACCTTCACGATCACCAAACTGCTTTTCGAAAGTCGTGTAGGCCTTGTGAAGGGCCATAGCCTTAGACCGTGGAAGTCGATCTAGGGCATACTTGTAAATCGCTCGAGCGCGCTCATATTCCTTCAACTTAGCCTCGAATTTGGCATATGCGGAAAAGAGCCTCTCGTCCATGAAGTCCTCCCCTAACGTTTCGATAGCCGCACCATAAACCTCGCGAACCAAGTCACTCGTGCCATACTCCTCCTCGAAGCGGGCCCATTTGATCCAGTTCCGAGGTTCGGGGTGGACGACAGTAAACCGCTGGAAAATGGCGCGTGCTCGTTCGAACTCGCTATATCTCTTTTCCATCTTGATGTATGCGCCCCACGCACCCTCTTCCGGCTCCCATGACATCCATCGCTCGAACACTTGACGGGTGCCGGGAATGTTGCCTAGTGTTTCCTCCATGTAGACATACTTGTACCAGAGCTTGTCAATGCGGGGGAGGATAGTCACGGCACGGTCGAGGAGGTTTCGGGCATGGTTAATATTCCGGGTCTTCATCTCAGCTTCAATGTAGCGAATCCATAGCACCACGGAGGTCGGATCGACGTCGAGCGCGCGCTCGAAGATGGATCGAGCTCGACGGAATTCTTTTTGTTCAAGCTCCCAGGCGGCATAGCGCATCCAGTTGTTCATGTTAATGCGGTTGCGCCGCACATAATCTTCAAAGTCCTTTCTTTTCCGGCCTTGGTACTCATGTAGTTCTTCAAGATCGGCAAAGCGCTGTGTCGGCGCCTCGAGGCCAGGCTCTTGCCGGTCAACGGCCTCGCGGAGCAGTTGCTCCGCAGAGATCTGAACCGGCGCGGCGGCCTTGTTCTTGACCCGGGGAGGTCCACGGGAGGCCTCCATCGTGATGGTACTGTATTGACTGATTCCGGGAAAGAGGTAGTGTGCGATTCAAGAGGATTTAAGTTGAGGTTCGGGGACGTCGAAATTATCGGGCAAGAAATCAAGGTTGGGCAAGAGAAGGCGTTTGAAAGATGAATGCTGGCTTCACCAAACTGCGGCGATTGCTCAACTCAGAGATTGGCAGGAAATTTTCTCACGGCCAATCCAGTGACGCCGAGAGTAGCTTGGACCCGTGTAGCTCTGAGAATCCGCGATGAAATCGCCGAACTGCGTGACTGGTCTTTCTCGCCACCCGCGCACGTAGCTTCCTCCTGACTAATCACAACTTTTCTTCCCAGCCTTAAGACTCTGGGAATACCTTCCTTTCTAGTTTACCCAGTGGCGTTCTGGGACCACGATCATACGCACCTCATCTACGGCATCGGACCCGTCGCATAACTTCTGATTCAAAATGTCGACCGCCGAAGAGCTTCTCCGCGACTTCGAGGATGACGAGGAGGACTTCGATGTGGGCGAAGGCGAGGACGTCGAAGAGGAGCCCGAGCAGCAGGAAGACCTCAAAGAAGGCCCTGATGTTTCGAACGACTTCGATCGCTCTATTTCTACCGCCGATGAGCTAACGCGCCTACACAAAGTCCTGCGAGACCATTACTCCATCCGATTTCCCGAGCTCGAAAGACTCGTCACCACTCCCATCAAGTACGCCAAGACAGTTGCCGTCATTCAAAATGGCCCCTTCAACGACATCAAGGCATTGTCTACATCATCGGAAAACATGGTTGGCGTCCCGCTTAAGTCAGTCTTGGACGGGCCGTCTCTGATGGCAGTTGCGATGGAAGCAACTATCACCAAAGGCCGAGAGATGACCGAGTCTGAGCTCAAGGTGGTTCTCGATACATGCGAGAGGATCTTGAAGCTGGATAATGAGCGCGCTGCCCTTACCGCAAGCATACAGTCGCGCATGAACCAGATCGCCCCTAACCTGGCAGCCCTCATCGGAGCCGAAACCGCTGCACAGTTCCTCAACCAAACAGGTGGCTTGCTTGAACTAGCTAAGATCCCCTCCTGCAATTTGGGTGCACAAGGATCACGCAGATCAGAAGGACTGGGCTTTGCGACCAATCACGGTGTTCGAGCGCAAGGTTTCCTCTACGACTCGCCACTTCTCCAAGAAGTTCCTATGGACCTCAGAAAACAAGGAATTCGAATTGTTGCAGCTAAGATGGTGCTCGCAACTCGCGCGGATGTCTCCAATTTCGCCAAGGACGGCTCTCTGGGCGAGGAACTGAAGCAACAATGCTACACACGACTGGAGAAACTGACCGAAACTGCGCCCAACGCCGGTACAAAGGCTCTTCCTGCACCCGATGACAAGCCCTCCAGAAAGCGAGGAGGTTGGCGGGCCCGAAAGGCCAAGGAAGCTGTCGCTATGACGGAACTACGGAAGGCACAGAATCGACTTGCATTCGGCAAGGAGGAGTCGGAGGTGGGCTACGGCACAGGTTCCGGGACCGTTGGTTTGGGTATGCTGGGACAACAGGACGATGGCCGCATCCGCGCAACCCAGATTGATCAACGCACCCGTGCCAGACTCAGCAAGAACAACAAGGGCTGGGGCACAAACACCCCCGCTAGCGGCACCGCCTCGTCGTTGCGTGGTTTTGGCCAAGGCGGTACAAGTGGCACTGCAAGCGTTCTCCAGGCACGAGGTATTCGTGCATCTGGTGTCGGATCGTCTCTACCTGGCGCCGCTGGTACCTCCAGTACTATTGCATTCACACCCGTTCAGGGTCTGGAGCTGGTCGATCCGAAGGTGCAAGCGGAATTGAAGCGCAAGCGCGCCGCTGAGGAAAATCGGTGGTTTAAGTCTGGAACTTTCACTCAAGCTCCTCACCAAACTCCTGTCAATCCCCAGGGTGGCGAGAATGGTGGCTTCAAGGTGCCTGCTATCCCACTCAAGAGGAAGGCTGATACGGGCGAGGGCAAGATGGGCCCTCCACCGAAGCGTTGAGAATTCATCTGTTTTTCTGATTCACTTGCTTTTATCGAGTCCCAGCATTTTGACGGCGTTTCAAGGGGAAGATCAGGAGGCCTGAGCTTCTATGAGTTACGTGATACCAACCGATTGTACATTAGATCTGAACTACAGACTTCAACATGAAAATTTTTAAAGAAAAAGAAAAGAAGAGGACAATAGCCAGATTATTGTATCCAGCCAACACAACTTGAAGGGGTTTCTGGGTTTGCCAAGAATTGCACCATCTCAGGGGATTCGCAAGGATTTACAGGGCCAACAGTTTAGGGCTCGCTCACAGCACGTGGATGTTTCAGGATTCTCTGATAAAGAATAAGGAGGATTCGATGCTGTATGTTGTATAATATAGATTGGGTGCTAGTAGTAGACTAGTAGACGTAGACCTAATAGACCTGATGAACCTAATAGAATGGCAACTCTAAATCTCGAATTCGCCCACATTGCGTGCTTGCACTGTCTGGCCCAGCACACAATCACCGTGGTACAGCATGGTATAGCGGTCAGGAGAATTGCATATAAATTGTCTGCAATTCCTTTTCGATATTTTCATATGTATCATAAAATTTTGTCTATATAAAGCTGCGATTCCCCTCCGCATTCTCTATTTTTGTCGGTTATTTCTGGCTTTACTTGATTTCCGTCTCCTATTTGCCTCAAATTTGGAATATTTTTGAGTCATAAATCAGATCCACAGAGACTTGGAACATGACGTTTACCATAGCAAACCCAGTCCTCAGCAGCACAGTCCCAACTACCAAAAGCCCTTCAAACAAAGGCAAAGACCAAGAAGTTCCAAGCTTGACTCGACTTCTGCATCACCGCCATGTCACTGCAGAATTCGATCCCTTGATATTTGAAGCTGCTGCATCATTGCAACTGCAATTACAGCTCGGGGGGCGATACCCAGATACAGAAACAGACACGCGACTCATTGCATCGCCCTACAACAGCGTCCCCCATCTACTGGATATTGCTGCACTGGAAAGACAAGACCGACTCTTCGCATTGGCGTTGGCATATCTCAAACCTATCCGCGATGACTATGCCACTGCTGGATACACGGAATCATTCAATTGGACAGAGGTGTTTGATTTGTTGAGAGCTTTCTCACAGGCAGAGGACCACACATGGAAATCGCAATCGTACTATGTTGTTATTTTCCGGTCCACACTATTGCCGGGCATTGATTCGGATCGTCTTTATGAATTGGATGCGCATTCGCATCAGGAGGCCATTGCTAGTGGGGGATTGTTGAAGTATTGGTTTGGGGCGAAGAATGACAGGCATCAGAATATGGCAACTTGTGAGTATTTGACTGTTTATATCTTGGATTCTCTTTTAGTGACTGGTCGATTTGAACAGGCATTTGGCGTAATCGAAATGATGCAAGACTTGGTGGTCGTGGACCTTGGCATGCTCAAGCAAGAGCGGCTGCTCCAACAATGTATGAGCAGATTCGGTTTACTACGTTGAGGTTGGTTATTGAGGATGGAGTGCAGTCCTGGACGTTGAGTGATTGGAAGGAAGATGTATAAAGAATATGGTCAAGACCAGCGTGCGGCCCATTTGACTAGAGTCTAGAACAGCATGACATTACGGGCCTGTATATCTTCATGTATAGCGTTTTGTCCATAGGGCTTTCTTAATCAATCATCCCTTCAAGGTTTATATTACCTCGCAAACTTCCTACACTCAGCCACTTGGCTCTCTCATACCAGTATCATGGATAGAACCAGACAAGAATCCCTAGAAAGAATGGACATAAGTCAGATTGGCATAGAAACTCACAAATTTGCATGTAGGCTATGTACTAATAGTACAGCGCTTAGAGGCTGAGCTTGTCCCGCGAGTATACTGGTTATCTACTTGAAAAATGAGTAGATGCTGATAGGTAATAGGCGAAAGATGAAGTTGACCTGTTGGTGTTTCTATAAACCAAACTTAGGAAGTGAGTTTCCTTTATATTTCCAAGGCTTTCACATTTCTTTGTCTGATATGCGGGTCTTAGGCTCTATAAGGTCATACTTAATAATCAGATACATCCCTCTTCCCTTCTTTCTCTTCCTCTTCCTCTCTCCGTCCACTCTCATTTATATAATGCTACCATTCTCTCCTTATTGAGACTGCTTTAGAAAACAACAGCAAAAGGTCCTTTCTGGTTTGCTCTTATAAACTGCCACCACCTCTACAATCGACCTACGCAAGCACTACACAGATACGCATGCAGATGTCAGACTAGCAGGCTCAGGGGGGACGTCCAAGGCTACATAACATGAGCATGATGCAACGGCTAAGTTGATACCTTGGTACCTTGGTACACTTTTACTAGTTTTTCAACTAGTATCCTGATCTAGGATAGCTCCACTTCTAAATTTCCCGTGGCATCATGTTCATCTTATGGGATTGCGCGCCTCTCTAGGCGTACTAGTGTGATGTCCGCGAGTTTGTCTGTGTAATGCTTACGCAGATTGTTCGTGGAGGTGGCGGCGGCCTATAAGATCAAATCGGAAGGATTTCAGGTGGCTGTCTATCTGCACTCGTTCGGAATCTAAGGCACCGAACACTGTTTCAATTGAAATCGCTAATAAGATACGATATCCTGGTAGCAATCAATATATACTGTTGCACCGAGACATTTGTCACTTGCTCAGTTTGTTAGAGCTCTCCTCCCATTCCTCACTTGGTCTTCTCACTCACTTCTCTCTAGACCGAAAAGAACCAATCACACGCCTACCAACACAGACTACTACACCGATGAGGAAAGGTAGAGGAAGACTACGCACGTCTAGTACTACGTGGTTATCCCCAGTTGCTACTCTCATCTCTAATCTCCCATCTCTCATCTCTCATCTCTCATCTCCCACCTCTTGATGCATTCATGCCATCTGTGCTTTCATGCAGCTTATGGCAGCTCGCTTTTCTTGCTAGATCTTTCCATGTATTTTGCCTTTGTTCCCTTTGTCCTATGGACAGAAAGGGGAGCCACCAATCCAAAGGGCAAAAGACCTAGTGAGAAATCTCACAGACGGTCCTCACTTGATCATTGCTTAAAGTGATGAAGTCAAACTCCTCCGTGCTAGGCTCAAGATGCGCAAAAAATCCGATCCACCCACCACAACCCACCGGGATGGAGGGGAATTCTATGAATTCATTGGGGAGCCCATGCAGCGAGTGGAAGCCCTTTTCATCTTCCTGACTGGCACTGTCTGAAGTATCGAGTGTGACTGTTCCTCCAGGGCTATGTTGTCTCTCCCTGTATCGGTTAATCACCAGCTTGGGGTGACTAATGATTGCGCCAACTGATAGTGGGCGAGTTCCCACCGACGTCAGTGGTGCTCCTTCAACCGCCGTGTGATAGACAATGGCTCAGTCAAAGGGCAAGGATACCTCCATTGAGAATTTCGGCACTATCAATATCACCACGGCCACTATCCGCCGGATAGAGGATTCGGCTCGGGCAGATCAAGCAGGAAACATAGTATACTGCTGAGCCAACGAGGAAACTCAGCATGAATCCGAGTTTGGGGACAGGGGACTGGGGATGTGGCGGTCTATGTTGAGCTATCTCCCAACTGTGGTACGTATACCTAAAGGAACATTGAAGTCAATATGACACGCAGCTGATTTGACCAAGCTCAATGGATGGATATGGCAGAAAACGCCTTCGGGAAGAGTGAGCCAAACGAAGCATTGACCCGAATTACCCATAACCTGCTCGTCTTCGCACACCACTATGTCACCTTGCACCCTGACAACACTAAGGTCTTGAAGGTGAATAACTTGAACTCAAATGCCAAAGGACTATAGCGGTATAGCCCGGTAAAATATCAGAATATAAAGTCTTTTCTAGTGACCATGTCCTCCTGTACTTCTGAGAACAAGGGTAGAAAACTTGCTACTGCCACCAAATGGGCCCATGAGGCGTCTTACCACAGCTCGTCTGACGACGATGTCACTTTCGTGGAGAGCAATCCCCTTTCCTCTCGCGGTAGGTTGATCACTATCTATGATCATATACCCCCTACCCATCTTTACATCGGTATCGGTCGCTCTCGTTGATTCTCTTTACTTTTGGGGCTCAGGGTTTCAGACATGTCCGTAGTACTCTCTTCATAAAAGAAATTGTAGTATACTTTCAAAATAGCTATGCGCCTTGTAATATCAAGAAATTGCCGTTGCACTCGATGCATAATTTACACATTTCATCCGACCCATTTAAGAGAATTTGGGACGAAAAAGCCGAAGAGCAACTTTCTCCCCGTTAACATTGGCACCTCCACATTTCGCCAAAAAGGGTAATCAATTCCTCCCCAATCGCGGGGAATATTGCTCTTTATCGTTACCTGTGCACATCTCCAACCCTCCTGACATCAATTGAAGTCATACAATAAAACGAGGTGGGGGGTATCAGTGTCAGCGTTGATTTATCTGGCTTCTGGTTGGATGTTTCTCTATTGATGCTCACACTATGTTGTGTATACCCCTCCATGAGGATAACCGAGGTGCGAAGGATACAAAATAGCACCGTCCTACCTATCCCAACCTGACAACTTTCTTCTAAATTCTCATAATATCTGAATTGTTGAATTGTTGCTCATCACATCCAACATGGTCGGCGTCCAAGTAGACAATCTCGCCGTGAACGACGGCCCCTTAACATCAGAGAATGCCACCCTCCTCCGCCCCTCAGATCCAACCCTCCCCCTCGAAGAGCTCCGCAAACGATACGACGAGGACGGCTACCTCTTACTGAAAGGAGTCCTGCCCCGTGAGGACGTCCTCGCCGCCCGAGATGCATACTTCTCCTCCCTGGAATCAACAGGAGTCCTAAAGCCCGGCACCGCACCGGTCGAAGGTGTCTTCGACCCCGCCAAGGACCATCTAGACTACCCTGGTATCGGAGCAGGCCACATTGGCGGGAACGGCAAGCCGGGTGGTGAGCGAGCAGCGGCCTTTGTCGATCTTGCTCTCGACGCACACTACCAGGACTGGTACGCGAACAAGTTCTGTAACCACCCAGCGCTGTATGATTTCATTGCGCGCTTCTCGGATTGGGGAAAGAACACCTTGAGCTTGCGTCGCACACTTCTCAGGAACAACCTCCCCGGATCGAAGCCCATTGGCGTGCACTATGATCAGATCTTCTTGCGGTATGGAGATCCGACGAGTATCACTGCTTGGGTTCCCATGGGAGACATCAAGCTCAACGGGGGTGGACTGATCTACTTGGAAAATGGTTTGTTTTGGCCCCTGTCTTTGGTTAAAGTTCCTCGGAGAAAGTTTGCATACTCATTCGATTTGCATAACAGGTGACAAAGTTGGAATCGAAATGGAAGAGGCCTTCTTTACCAAAGCGAAGCAGGCTGGACTGACAGATGAAGAGGCCAAGTCGGCTTTCAATTCGAATATGATGTCTACGGGCCTGCTCTCGGAGTTCCCGACTGAGTTCGCTCGCGAGCATGGTCAACGATGGATGGTGTCGGCCTATGAGGCAGGTGATGTGGTGTTGCACAAGCCTCATATGGTGAGCTGCCTATTCTTTACATGGAAAGCCTAGGTATACTAATGCTTTGTCCAAGATTCACGCTTCTACTGTCAACAACGACCCGGACAATGTCATCCGTCTTGCGACAGATCTACGGTTCTGCGACTCGTCTAAGCCTTATGATAAGGTAAGTTTCATTGAATATATATTGCAAGCCTGGGAAATTACGGACACTGGCTTACAATTTGTTTACTTTACAGAGATGGATGAACCATTATACCTTTAACGACGGTGTCTAGGGTGTTATTGGTATGGAGCGAGAATTAAGCCCGGGGCCAATAGTATTTTATAATGAACGGGTTTGTTCTACAATTTGGACATTGAAGAAACCCATGATACCTCCAATTACAATGTAATTTTCAATTTTGATACTTATTCTGGAAGACTGCAAAAGAAGGACATGTTTATTTGGCAGAAGTTGCATAGGGGAGCATGCAAGCATGAAACAGTATCACTCTATCATTCCAGTCGCTTTAGATTATAGTTCCAGCGAGCCCTTTCTTCTTGGCAAAATCATTATGATCTAACAAGGGCAAGGGCGCAGTTGATAATTTGCAGGACAGTTGGTCCCTGGAATGTGTTCTGTCATAACTGGGGATCGACATAGGCCCCTAGATCCACGAAGAACCCTTTCCCCAATGAAGAATAGTTTTGCTACAGTATCAAGATAAGTTTATAAGACGAACAGTTTCTTCTGGTCATCTTAGATGAAGAAAAACAAAGTTTGAAACGATCTACAAGAAAAAAGAGGAAGACACACCAGGGATATAAACACCGGCATTCAAGTTACCATAAACCATCATTCCGAACGATAAGAGACTGGCATTTCGGTAATTTCGGTAGTCTTCAAAAAAGGGTCCAAGATCGGCCTCCCAGGCGTCAAATCCTATAATAGTTGTGACACTTGGGACTTAACTATTCCTGGAAATATCCCATTTTCAAGCACCACTTCATCACAACATACGCTTGAATCTATACAATATGTCGCACATTATTTCAAGGGCCTCATGGCTCTCGCTCTTGCTGGTGTCACTGCTGGCAGTGTCTACTGTCAACGCGCTTCCAATCTACCAGACAGACCAACAGATGGAAGGACAAGTCGGTAAACTTGAATCTCGGTCACCGGTTAGTCACTCAGAAGCGGCACTCTATCTGTGGAAGAAAACACTGCTAACAGAGACACAGAGGCTTATTCCAGACACTGCGGAATACGTCCATGATATCCTGCAAGGGCTGGGCCTGACAAAGCCAAGCCCAACCGCAACCGCAACACCCACGTCCACACCCACTTCCACACCCATTTCCACACCCACTTCCAGCATCAAGGACGAGCAAGACGTGGAATATATGAAGCCAACACAAACCACGCACATCATCTACTCCAGCTCCACCAGTTACACACCGACTCATGGCAGCAATGGGGCGGGATACACCCATACCGTGAAACAGGAGCACAGCAACAACAGGCCGGTCGAGAATATCCAAATCGGACAAGGTTGGAATGGGGATAAGAAAATTACTGCCGAGAACTTCCCTGCGGTCTTTGATGCTGTATATAGGGAGCTGGAACATCGATTGAGCGATACGATTAACAGTTCTGATGAGATTGGATTGGAGGACTTCCTATGAGGATGTGAAGGGCTACGAAGAAGGAAAAAGGAAACGATGGATTATGAGGAAAATGTGAACTTGAAAGACTATTGTTTTTGATTTTATACTATGTACGAGTTACTTCTTCTGTCTTGGATGTTATATTTGTTTGGAGATTTCCTATAACTGCGGTTACTACTCGAGAAGGCAGTGATGTCTTTTAGAAGACTATAGCCCTAGTCTCTAGGTAGTTATACTGAAAAAAGTACTCTGTAGAGATTGAACTTCCACTACCTAGGTAATCCTCCCTTGAAATAGACAGGCAAATCCAACATACCATGCTTTCAGCGATCATTTCTGTATGATTCTTTGTATGGCAGACAATTCCCAGACCTGGATTTATGGCAATGGCAGCTTGAAAGACATCAATCGCTACTCTACACCTATAGTCCCGGATGGAGCTTGAACGCTAAACTCCCTTAACTCCGTGGTCGTTCTCCGATCACAACTCCGGACCTCAGCAGTACAACTCCGCAGGCTAGCCCCGGACGTGAAATCCGGAGTCGGAATCATATTAGCATGAGGGTTTATCTAGACGGACGAAGTGATCGCAGGAAGCTCGTGGTAACAACCTGGGAATATCCTTAACTACGACAAATCTAACCCGACGGCGGGGCACGATCTTCCAAAGTTGAAAACCATAAAAGGCCCATCGGAGCCCACCAACTTCGACGTTCTACCAACTATCTCTATCTCATCTCCCTGAAGTTTACACAATCATCTTTGATATTCAACAATGCCTTTTTTAATTGGAAAGGAAGTCGGCCCCATTGGCTATGGCACGATGAGTACGATTCCTACAAACACCGCAATTGGCGAATATTGTGCTAACAAAATCAGGAATGACCTGGAACGCGCAGCCTCCCTCAGAGGAGGTGTGCTTTGAGACACTGAACACTACCCTGGAACTCGGTGCCAACTTCTGGAACGGGGGCGAGCTATATGGCACCCCGGAGTACAACTCTATGCACCTGCTCAACAAGTACTTCACCAAGTACCCCGAGAACGCAGACAAGGTCGTTCTTAGTGTCAAGGGTGGCTTGAAGAAGGGCGAGCTTACCCCGGATGGCTCGGAAGAGAACATCCGTCGTAGCGTGGACGAGTGTCTGCGTCTGCTCGATGGCAAGAAGAAGCTTGACATTTTCGAATGCGCGCGACAAGACCCTGCGTTCCCCGTCGAGCAGACCATCAAGGTTCTCGCAGAGTATGTCAAGGAGGGCAAGATTGGAGGGATTGGGTTGAGCGAGGTTGATGCCGAGACAATCCGCCGAGCGTATGTGCCCTCTGTGTTTGATTTTATGGTCTTCATCTCCTATAGATAAACTCAACTCTAACTGCTTCTCTAGACACAAGGTGCATCCAATTGCTGCTGTCGAGGCTGAAATGTCCTTGTGGTCTACCGATATCCTCCACAACGACATTGCCAAAACCTGTGCGGAGCTCCAGATCCCTGTTATCGCTTACTCGCCACTTGGCCGAGGTGTCCTGACCGGAGCTGTGACCTCGCTGGCCGATATCCCCCATGGTGATATCCGGCACCACATGTCCCGTTTCCAGGAAGAGAACTTCAAACACAACATGAAGCTCATCAATGAGGTCAGTGACCTTGCTACTCGTAAAGGTGTTGCCCCTGCTCAGATTGCACTGGCATGGATCCGGACTCAGAGTAGCAAGCCTGACATGCCTACTATTATTCCCATTCCTGGCGGTACTACGAAGGACAAGGTGGTTCAGAATATGGGCGGTGCACAGGCGCTGACGGATTCCGAGATGGCTGAGATCGAGGCTATTTTGGAGGAACACACGGTTTCTGGGGCTCGATACTAGGAAGTCCCTGCAGGATATACATTTATTAGACTTGGATCATAGCAAATGAGAGATGTTTGTCATGCGAATGGGTTGTTGCATAGGTCAGATCAAGTGTAGAAGAGTCAACATACAACCTCACATGTGATAGGTGGTTGTCAGGATTGCAAATTCATAATTGATCATCACGTAGTATGTAGGGGGTTGAAGATATTGTTGCGTAGGGTTCATTGTATGTAGTAGTGTGTACAGAGGGTAAATGTGAGCTTACCATTGGGTTAGTGTGGTCCACTAATTGAGAGGTCTGTGCATTAGTGAATGAATCGATAAGAATCTAGGAAATGGAAAATAGCACGATAGTCTTTAAAACAACCATGGTCAATCCGTACATGTTAGGGCAATGGAGGAAGAAGTAGGGAAGAGAGCGGTGCTCAGTTGTGAAGAGCTCGCAGTTCATCACGTGACCAAGCTCAACTCCACGGCTGAACACGTGATGTGATACGATAGTCTCCCTCGCGCGACATCTACAGCCTAGCTAATAGACAGGTCAAAGTTATTTGTTGCCATCTCGTTTTCTCCGTACAGGCTATATCATCCACAATGGCTTCACGAGACTCTCCCGGTTCTCCCCTGTCCTCGGTAGGATCTCTCGAGACTTCAGATCATGAATCCATGAAACACGAGAGCCGCGCGCATTCACCCTCGATGTCCAACATGCCGCCCTCCAAGCGTCGTCGCACTGGCGTCGCTTCCTGGGACCGACAGACTCCTCTCTCCTCTGCTCAAGACGAAATACACCCACCTCCCTCCCCGACTGCCTCGATCTCCTCTGATAGCTCCGGCGATATCCCAAACTCCCCCGGCATCCTTTCACTCCTTGGCACCAATCAAGAAGAGGACTATAGTGGCCAGAGCACTGACCAGGTCACTATTTGCCGATGGGATGGATGCACCGCTGGCGACCTCGGCAACATGGATGGGTTGGTGCAGCACCTCCACAACGAGCACATCGGGAGCCGACAGAAACGGTACTCGTGCGAGTGGTCCGATTGCACCCGCAAAGGTCAAACGCATGCTAGTGCTTATGCCCTCCGCGCACATATGAGAAGTCACACCCGCGAGAAGCCATTCTACTGCACTCTACCCGGTACGTTGTCTCAGACCCAGACTCGAGCCCTCCAAACGGGCGCGTATGATGACAGATCTCGAGTACTAACAATGAAATATAGAATGTGACCGCAATTTCACCCGTTCCGATGCGCTAACCAAGCACATGCGCTCTGTTCACGAGACCGACACCATGCGTCCAAATGACTCCATCTCAAAAGTCCACGGCACCCCGGGCAGCACTACCGGCACCCCAGCCTCGAAGCTGCAGCGCATCCGCTTGAAGCTGACCCAGCCCAGGGAGCCAGGAACCGAGTCTGAGCCACACACCGAAGCAATCACCATTGTGCCAACCCCCGTCACAACCGACGCACACGATCCCGACGAGACCACGATGCCAGAGTTTGGACCCGAGCTCGACTTCGATGAATCCGAGCTCGCCCTACCCCGCGCGACCTCTACCGTCTTCTCCGTCGACAGATCGCGTGGGCTGGCAAGGAGGCTGCACAGCTGCAAGCTGAGTGGGAGGAAATCCGCCCGCGGCGCGAGCGCGCATGGCGCGAGAAGGAGGCTATCTTTGACGACCTCATTCATGCAGAGATTGGACTGTTCAGCGCAATGGTTGGCTCGGTACCACCTGCACACTTAACGACCAGCCTTGAAAAGCTGCAGCAGCAGCAACAGCAGTTCCAAGATCAACAGGACCAGTTGACCAAGTCGGCAGAGGCACCGACTATCGAGGGCAGCACTTAGCTGGCTGCTCTTTTCTCTCTCCTTCCCTACTTTCCTCCTCTTCTCCTCAATCTTCTCCCCCCCTGAGGCCATGCTCGGTTAGCTTGGCCTTGGTATTGCGTCACTTTGCAGTTACGGTTTCATTTGTTCTCTCATATCCCGGCGTGCATGGCGTTGGTGAATGCGTTTTTTATTTGTATTTTCAACCCAAGACAAAACAGCAGTGTCAACGGAATGTACGAATAGCCTTTTTTTTTTTTGTCGGTATGGCTTGGAGGCCTCGATCAATGACAGCTCACCACTATGGGTGATCACAATTATATTGTCAATAATCATGGTTTTATTCTCACCGCAGCATTATAATGCAAGGCTATATAGAGGAGTCCATCCCACATCCTTATTTCTTAGTCTCTGATATCACCTGTCAACTATGAACTAGCTAGATCAGGGCGCTATATAGGTATGACCTGTTCAAAATTCTTATGAGCTCATGTAGATGAGTGTGGATTGATAGACCTGGATCCTTTGTTCGAGTCACCCACCTACCTGGAGTCTATATGTGATGGTCGACAGACACTTGTTGTCTTAAATGATAATTCATACTGAGGCCCAAAGGCTTTGCTGGTCTTACGTTGGTTCTAACCAGAAACCAAAGCGAAGAAATTCAAATAACATGATCTCCACTGGATGTTCCCAGGAAGATAAAGAAAATCAGTCGACGCCATGGCAGCCACTCCATAAGGTACATGTGCAGAGAAAAGAAAACAAACTGCCCTTGATTACGGATGCCTCCATAGGAAGAATCCTACTATGCTCACAGCATACAAGAAAAGCAAACTAAAGCAAAGGGGATATGGTTAAAGGGCTCAATCCAGGCAACACAAGAAAGACCATGGAGAGCCAGTCCAAAACTCCCCACTGGAAAACATCTGGAAAAAAAAAAGAGAGAACCCAAAACGCGCCATGCAGTGATCATTCAAGATTGTGGATCATGCTCATTTCGGAGATTCTCTTTCTGTGCTTTTGGGGCTCACGCAAGAATTCGACGCCATTCGCAATGCCATTCAACAAGTTGCATCCATATGTACCTTCAACGAACAAAGAGCAAAAGAGAGAGATGGAGGTCACCTTGATGAGGGCAGCTCAAGGAATTGTGCAAAATGTCTGAAGATGACAATAACAACGACTCCAAAGAAACTCGAGTCCAATGCAAGAATATCGGAATAACGTAGTTCAAGATTGGGATTGGGAATATCGTGGAGAGTAGACAGAGAAGAGATCGCAAAAACATACGCCGAGTGTCTATCATCAAAAATAGGAGAAAAAGAGGGGGA